GCAGCCAATCAGTCCTGAGGGCATTTACATATATCAATCTTGAAGGGACAGTAACAAAAACAGCCTGTTTCAAAGAGCTGAAGAGAAGTTGGAAAATGGTCATGTAAAAATAAATTATGACTGACAGTAGACCCCAGGGGAAAAATACATATAGAAATAATAGAAACAGAGAATAAAATACAAGCAAAAATGTACGCTATAGGCTTCTTAACAAAATGTAGTGATTTTGTTTATGTCAGTTTGTTTGTTTAACCATTTACAATCCTCTCCTCAAGGCAGTCCAGAATGCAGTATTACTAGTAGCTACTAGGTGCGTGAGAATGCATCATGACATTGTGATATTGCAATGCAAAGGTGTGACAATGCACACTGTATAGATGTGACAGTGAATTGTGGAGAATAGACATTCTATTAATTATGGCATATAATGCATCTGCATTGTTTGAACACCAACGTTTGCAAACGATCAATGCCAACCAACAACTCACTGCAGCACCATTCCTGCCGCCCAGTTCTAGTGTCATTAGTAAGCTGTAAAATAACATGATTACAGTCATCATTATTCTTCCTTCAAATTTTGTTCTAAATATTGTGAGGATACAGAATCATGAACCAAATCAAAGAGTGCCCTGAGTTACATCCCTAGTAATTATTATCATCCAGTACCTGTTTTGACTCAATCAACTCTTCCACTTGAATCTGGTGTGCTGCTGATTGAATCTTAAGGGGAATTCTACTGGTGTTTTGTATTTTACCAAACGCATACAACATTTGTATATAATTCAATAGTTGAGATGTAAACCAAGTCATTCAGAGTGGTCTGGTGTGAAATGGTGCATTATAGAGAAACTTACTGACTCAAATGTCTTCAAAATGGTGGTGATATAATGTCTACAATGCAAATATAGCCATTTTATTTACTATCCAAAATGGCAACTTACTACACATGTATTTTGAGGTTTCATATGTAATATTGATAATGGTACAATAGTGATATTTGGCGCTGCGTTCATCTCTCCACTATGAGTGGATTTTAAAAATATGTTTACAGCCAAACCTTTACCACTAAACCTTTGTAACCAATGACCTGGGCAACAGACAGTGTGTTTCTAAGCATTTAATGTAACTTTTTGCTTTTAGAGGTATTAAACGCTTCGGATGGCTGGTTCCTATTATTATTGTTGTGAGCGACTCGGAATGGCACAATTCAGATCACACCATTCTGAAAGACTTTGTTTACGATTAATGATTCATGACCGGATCACACAGAAATTTTGAAAAGATCAGTGGAATTCCCTTGGCTTTTTGTTTTTTTGTTTGTAACAGTAAAGAACACTTACTGCTCAGGTAAATGGATTTAAACAATTGGCTTAGGTGCCTAAGACATTTACACCACACTGCATATATTGTTGTGTCATGTCACATCAGTTTCAAATGAAAATGCCAGATGTCCTTAACATTGTGTGAACATTTAATGATGAATGAACCAATAGCAATACTCCAAATTTACCTAATTTATTATAATAAAAAAACAATATCTCATTATATTAATATACATTGAAGAATGTTCTTCTCTTCTTCTGTACAATTACCTTTTCAGAGATACACATGCACACATCCTCAGTCCATCTGCAAAACACACATGTGCACATACACGTTCAACGCACACATTTGTAAATGCATCACATCATTATTATTTCCATCAATGTCATCATCAACAACAATCTCAAACACACTTACACACGCAACGCTCACGCATGCTACCGCACACACACACCCTGAGGTCAAGGCCCGATGGGGGTCCAGGCAGAAATAGGTCATTTGTCACACATCATGTCCTGGGGCTGGGAATGCATTATAGATGAGACCAAACAGCCTGTCTCAGTGAGCTCCCACCACTCAGAAAGCAGAGGAGGAGAGAAGGAGGGGAGGAAGGGGGGGTAGGGAGAGATGACAGCTACTGTAATCAGTGTTCAGCTCCTCTAAATGAGCACCAACGAGGAACGCTCTGTGGTATTAGTTGTAATTTTAATATCGCAACTAATTGTGCCTCTGACTCATTGTACCTATTATACAATGCTAATAACTATTACAATTACTTAGGAAAAAAAAGACAGCATTATGTGTGTAATGTGGTATTTTTTATATTGAAGTTAAGAATGTGCAAATACTGTTGGCTATCAAAATATTTCATTGTTCTTCCAACTTCATATTAGGTCAATTTCATTAATAAAAATGCTTTCGGAATTATGTAATGTACATATTAGCAAGACGGGACTGACAGAAGTAATTTGGATGGAAACAGTACAGTTTCTCATATACACTCTAAGAACATTTCTTGACTTGCAGTACACAATGTGAGTCACTGGAATTAAAAGTAGATCTTAAGGCCTTTAAAGACAGAAAGAAAGTATTAAAAAAAAGAAAAAATCTAGATAAATAGCATACATGTGCCTTAGACAGATTTTGAATGAGATGTTCAAAACAAAATAAAAAATGTGTTCATTTTCCAACCGCATAACAATAGATGCCAATACTATCATACACTCAGTAAGAGCTACAAAGCAGAGTAATCATTACTGGATTTACTTCAAATTTACGTATATATTAGATTAACTTAATAAATCATTACAATAAATGTCAATAAACGTAAATACAGTAAAAAGTGACAAGATTTTTGTTTTTCAAAAAATGAGATAATATCTTGTGAGCTAGTCTGAGAAAGAAATATTAGCTTCAGATTTTACCTTGACACCCCAGCCATTACCTGGATAGGCTCATCTGCAGCAAACATGATTTGACATAATGAAGCACTGATCAACCAAACCAGGTAATGGATGATAACCTCAATTAATACTCTGCTGCCACGACTACAGTCTGGAAATGGTTAAACGAACATACTGACACATAAAATCACTACTTCTCGTAGTGATTTTATTGTAAAATAAGTGTTTTTCTAAGCAAATAAATGCTCACTGACAAAAAAAATCCTCATCATTGTCTTCTTTTTTTCTTTTGCATAATTTGTAATCACTGGCTGCTCCTTATTTTGTGTGAAATTTTCATGATGAATGAAAAATAAAATAAAAATGGACCAAAATTACTTGGAAAAAATATTTTTACATTAACTTCCATTCTAAGTTAAGAAAGCTTTTTCCTTCACCTGTAAAGCTTGGAGATACAAGGTTTTGTACTTGCAGCAATGATATATATCTCAGAGTCAGACTAGGACAGCTTGTTGATGCTTCTTCATTTATGTATCTTTTTTATGTAAGTCAAAATGAATCGGAAATCACAGAGCATTTTCCTTCCGTAATGTGACATGTTTCTGAGTGAAATACAGTATTTCAAAGGGTCTCTGAGCTCTCTATCTGAGTGTTTAGCTCAGTGACAGTTGGGGTTGTGAGAGGGGGCGGTGAAACATGATATAATTGGTTAATATTATTTTTCCCTGCATGCTAGTGCACGGTAACATATTCAAAAATCAGAAGACAAAAGACAGTCATTAAACTTCTATCAAAGACTATGGGAGGGCAAAAACGTTGTTTAATTTTGAATTTTCTAAAATGTGATGAATTCACAGATCTGTACTCTCAAATACTTAACTCAAATATCTTTATACATTAATATGGAAACAGAATGTGATCTGAGCAATCTTATGAGAGCAGAAAAGCCAAGATCATTAAATAAAACAAACTGTCTGTTTTATCTCTATGATGTTATATTGTAATAAGAACTTTATGAAGTAAGTTTGTAACATCTGATTAATTTTTTCTGGCTGTAAGTCTCACTTTAAGTCAAATTTACACTTCTCACCCAAAAGAACCAGAACTGTGATGTGATCCCCTGATAAGCAGTCTAAATCCCAAATCCCTTAGTATTCCTCCTAGATTCAAGCCAATAGCCTAATGCTCTTCAATGAGCAAACCAAAGCCACTTAAATCACACCTAATGAGCCGCTTCTGTTCTCATTAAGTGGCATCAGATGTGGCATCTGGATTATGACAGCTGACCACACCCATTTATTTGGTGTATTTCCATGACAGAATATACAGTACAAGCCTACAGGGAGCTGTTACTCACTGCTGAAACAGATTGGCAAAATGCACTGTTGTTTGCAGCATTCTGTATAATAAGAGAATACAGCAGAAATGTTAAACTTTCCCTATCTTTTAACATCAACTTTTCCCAGCAGTACTTGAAAAGGATTATGTGGTAGTTTTATTGGTGTAAACCATATACAGGAAAATGAGATGGCTTATTATCAGTGCTAATCAATTTCCTCCCTACAAAATCAAACTTCTTTTGACACCTTTACGCTGTTCAATATGTAGCCATGCTCTCAGCGTAGTAGTGTGAGAATGCCAGCTCAATCATGCCATTATTCTGCTTTGTTTACAACGTGCCCTCTTATTGGATAAACCCTCCTCTGTTTGCCTGCTTGCTTGGGCATTCACTCAGCCATTGGTCAGTCGTTATGACAGTCCACTGACCGAAAGTATAGTTTTTAAAATGAAAAACCCAAGGACACAACATGGGACGGCAGAGTGAAAGGAAGATAAAACAACAGTTCTGGGGTTTGACAGAGGGAATGAGGGAACAAGAATGAGGGTACACGAAAGAGAAACAAGAGAAAAGAAAGAAAAGAGGGAGAGAAAGACATGGCTCCTGTCTTTTCTGCATCCATCTGTTCTGATGGTGCAGGTGGAGCTCTATTCACCCATCTCTGCATGTGTGTGTGGAGTGGGGTGGGGTGGAGGGAGCAGGAAGAAAGGGAGGGCACAGGGAAGGAGTGAAGAGACAGAGAGAAAGGGGGTGGGGTGTGTGTGGGGGGGGCTCTCGGTGATCTCTCCTGAAGGGGATAATGGGTGAGCAGCGCATTGCAATGGCTGCCATGTAGTGCCCTCCCTTCTCAATTAGCCAATCAGCGGCCAGCTCTGCCTGGCAGAAGGACACATAAAAGAAGAACATTGCAGCAGAGGCACAGAAGGAGACTGCGAGGAGCTGGGAAATACATACACATATACACGAAAGCAGAACCAGAACACCCTCCCCTGGACACACCCTACTGGGGATCACTGCTTCTCTTTTTTTTTTGATTCCGAACCATCGCCCACGCTGCGCGGAGAGAAATCTCTCTCATCATCATCACCATCCTGAAGAAAACCCCCCTTTCTTCCTCATTTTCACTCTGTTTGAGGAAACCTACAATCACACGGGCTGAGAAACCCTGAAGAAGAGGCTGTTTTTTCCTTTTTTCTTTTTTTTTCTTTTCATTTGGGAAATTGGCATTTTTGTTGATTCGAGCCCCACACCTCAAGCAGGCCAGAGCGCAATAACCCTAAAGCCGGCCAGAAGACCCGCAGATCGAAGGACCTAGATCACTATCATCTTTGTACAAGAATGGTTACTGTACGTATACCTTTTTCTGCATGTGTGTGTTTGTGTGTGAGACTGTGTGTGTGTTTTCTTAGAGGGGAGTCATTGTAACAAAACAATTATCGTATACCATTCTCAATTGTTTTTACTCTGTGGACTATATGGGGCAGGACCATAGATGTGCATATCTCACTTTAGGATTTATTGTTTCAATTTGATATTGCGGTTGGATCTGGTTGGAACCTTGCATAACACCATACATTTAAATACATCACTTGGATTAAGCAGCCTGTGTACACACTGACATGCCTTCAAATAGGATTGTGTAAACAAGATTAACCATCAGTGTGGGTATTAGTAACGGGATACAGGGATGCGCAACGGCTCGCTCATTCGACGTTTTTTGTGAAGCATCATAACAGTGTTTTCTCTACAGTTCATTATTGTTGTGTTACGTGTTAAAAAGCATCCCAGTTGCACTATTTAAACGTTATGGGTTATCATAACGACACTGAGAGATGTTATTATAACGACACAGAGACGTGCAGACAGAGCAGAGTAGTGCTAGAGAGGCAGAAGGGCGTTGGGGGCAGCGAGGCCCTTGAGATGGAGGGGGGCGGTACTGTCTTCATCCAACCGCCCAGCTCAAAGCAACACGATGCTTGAGACGAATTTCTGAGACAAAAAGGAAAAAACACGATGCCTCGGAGGCTCCGAGCCCACAGAGAGCACGGCAGAGAGAGAGAAAAAGGGTCGAGTCATTCAGAGAAGGGGGAGGGGGGAGGGGAGGTATTACGCATCCATTGGTTTGGACTGAATCAGGCAAGGCCAAAACAATTCCTGAGGGTTTCTCCGAACAAATGAGCTGGAAAACGTCTAAGACTGCGAGACCAGGACGGCGCTGAGATTTTTTGATGTTCTGTGCTTTTTTTGGCGAAGCCCATGACAGAAATCTTCACGGAAGAGGCAGAAGAGGAGTCGGATTAGGGAAAAAACGGAGAAATGCAAGAGAGGCCCGAGAGCGCGAGCATTTTTTGGGCGTGGCTTCTGCGCTCGAAGACGCGAGGCGATGGCACGCGCCGCCTCGGTTAGCCTAAAGTCATTCACACAATTTACTGCTTTTTAATGAAAAAAACGACAAACACGCCTGTCTGATCTATTATTCGACCTCTTTTCACCAAACATGTCGAGCACATTAGAAACGTCAGATTTCATGGCTCAACAAACGACCGTGTTTCTGAGTTAAATGAGCGTCTCCTCACGGCGAGCTGGGTTAAACTGAGCCGCACAGAGCGCCCCGTATTTACACCCTAGTCTGAGAAACACTCTTTTGTGCTGGACCGAAATACAGTTCCACGTGGCCTGGACCAGACGGACGACGGAAAGCGCCGGAGCTCGACGCCATCAGTGTGTATCTGGAGAGATAAATCAGTGCAGGCCTCAACGGCCTGAGTTAACACGCGCTAGCCTAGCACGACAAACGTCGTCATGGATGAGGTCTTCATGTTTACGACGAAAACTGACCTTAAACAAAGGACGCCCCCCACACACACACTGCGACCACTCACAGCCTAAAACCCTGGTTTTAAACAAATTCCACCGACTAAAGTGTTAATTAAGCGGCTCAAATTTGAGCAACAGTCCCCACAATAAAGTCTGAGCGTCCACGGTTAAATAACGGCCCCGGAGCTGAGGCATGTCGGCGCGTGCTGCGCAGCTTCTCCCCCGACCACATGTTCCGCAGTCCTCCGTGCCGCTACCGCAGTGGCAAGCAAATAAAAAAGCGTTGAGTCAGATAACCTTCTCGAGGCGCTTACACAATTCAAGGACAAGGACAGAGCGAGTGACACACGGTGAAAACACACTCAGCCGAAAATAAGATCAGAGTCGTTACAGCAAAACGAGATAGAATCAGCAGCGTGAACCAGATCCGGTGGCTTGAGGGACGTTTCGCTATTTAAACAGAGATCTGGCAACGTGTCTAGTTTTTAAAGGCGTGCAATAAATATTTACCTTTGATCATCGACCTTTAGGTTCGCACAGTCTCAAACAATGAGTCAGTCGAATATTTAAAATAATGGTTCTGATGACTTAAGAAATTAATATTAGACACATGAGACTACACAACGGTCTGAAACCTGCAAGCACAATGTAAAGGACTGTAAATATATTATTATTATTATTATTATTGTTATTGTTATTATTATTATCACTGGGCTGTGAGGAGAGAGGGAAAGTGAAGGCAGTTGTGCTGTTCATTGTTCCCGGAGAGTCCTGCAGCCTCTGGCCTCGACACAAAGCGCTACTGTTTACATTAATATTCATAGTGCTGCCGTGGTCTCTGAGCGCGAGAAGAGGAGGAACGGGTGGCTCTTTTGTTTGCTTGTGTCAATACGTTTATTCAGCAAAAAGGCGCTCGGATTTATGAATGCCCACAGAGCACACATGGCCTCGTTCAATCAAAGGCAGAGGGGATAACGATTTAAACGATGCCGATGGACGGGCTGAAATTAGGCAGTTAAAGAGCTGCGGCTTTTTCATGGAAATATCTTAATTGCACTAAATAACGCAATAAGCACGAGAAGGCAGAGGGATTGTGGGATCTGTTTCTAAATAAGCTCGATGTTTTTGCAGGGATAGACAGACCAGTTTGCTTTCTAAAGGGAAGCCCCTCTTAGCCACTCCCTGCTTCAGCACGCTGGATAGCGCCCGGGCACGATTTTAACACACTTTTACGAGGCTCGTTTTCCTCCACCGAGAGCTTTTGTTGTTGTTTTCTTTCGGCGGTTATTTTTTGATGTGTTGTTCTGTATTCAGTTAAAGCGACTGTCCAGCCCTAATCGTAAAAACGTAAAGGCTACACGTAAAACATATAGCATACTTCGTATGACAAGTTTAAAATGACACTGATTCAAAAAACTAAACGAAACCAGTTGTTTTACTCATGCAGCAGATCCAAACATAAAGAAGCGGATTTGTTCGTTAGCTATTTGCTGGTGAATGTTGCAGCTCTGACTTTGCGTCCTGTAGCTTTACAGCTGCCACTGTGATCCTCTAAGCCGCAGTGAGAGTGTGGCTAATGCCCTTTGTTTAGGATAATCCTGTAATCTGGGTTAGTGAGACGGCCTATTGGCAATCTAGCGTTCGCATTTTCAGTCAGCAGGCCAGACACTTGCATCTCCAAATACGCGAAAAAAGACGAGGAGAAAAGGCAGAATGAGTGTAGCGGAATTTTAGCCATCGACTGACCTTTCAGCAAAGGGCTGTACACGACGGCTTTCTCTTTATGAACCGTATTGTTCATACCCATTACTGAGTGACTCCTAAGGGGGAAAAGCGTCTGTTTTGTCAGCAGAACAAAAGCACTGCTTGTTAGTCTCACAGGACTTCGTCAGGAAGCAGAAAATGGCTTCCTCGCAAGGAAGTGACGTTCTGCAACACGCCGCGCAGTGAGCTTGGCTCCAGCTGTAAGGCCCGTGGTGTAGTTATCAGCTCTGATCCCACCTTTATCATCACCAATCCGTGGTGAGACAAAAGAGCACACTGTACAGAGCTCTTTTGGAGGTTAAACTAGTGATTTTTGCTGGAGAGCAACAGTTATATCAATACATTTTGGCAACAGGCAAATCAATTCATCAAAACACTTCTTAGGCAATTGTTTCTTGCTTTAATATTTGACCCACTAATTTATTGAGAACAGCCCAATTTAATGGCAATTCAAAGACTGTATATTCTTATATATATATATATATATATATATATATATATATATATACAATTAAAATGTTCCTTTCAGACGTTCCTCTTGACACGGTTCATAGTGTGGTAGCAAATTTAGCCTCTCACACACTTATTTAATGCCCCAAATACAGGTAACTGTTGGGAGTGGCATACTAGTTTTTGGTCCTGCATTATGAGCCATCTTGCAGCCCTCAAGACAATAGGTACATTCCTGTGCTTTCTGTTAATAAACTTTGAGCTACTCCTCACTGTTTTCAGGAACCATTGTGTGGGATTCTGCAATGACATTCCGGTTCTATGAATCAGAGATGCAGCAGAGAAGGAACAAGCTGGATGTATGACGGGCTGGTTCTAGTTTGCGTGCGAGGCAGGGTCCATGTGTAGGCAATGCTGATGCAGGCCATTAAATATTGACGGAGATCTTTCTGGGTCCCAGAAATAGAAAAGTACAAGCCGGGACAAGAGCAAGTTCGCTTTGGGTATAACACGTTTGGCATCGTCTGTTGTGTAACTAAAGCTGATGGAATGTGGGGTGACTGCGGAGCGCAGCATCCGTCACTGGCGTCACCTCGGCGTTAACCTTTCTGCTTGGTAAAAAAAATGTCACAGAGTGGATCAGTCTCTGAGCAGGCTTGTCTATGTAATGCATGGATTCAGGGACAAAAAATCTTTTCTCCCCTTACTTCTTCTCCTTTGGCTTGTTTTGGCAGTAGCTTGAGTCTATGGGCAGAAAGAGAGGCCTGCGTGTTATGTAATGCTTTACGTTTGTCACCAGGGATGGGCAGCCCGCCATGGGAAGGTTCACTTCAGTCTATGAGTCCAAACTTGCCCTAGGCCTGTCGTTTTGTTTATATTAGTGTCTACTGATGTATATTCATATATATGTTAATTTTTTTTTTTTAATATTTTAAGATTAGTTTTAAGGACTTTATATCAAATGATGGGAAAAACTGATATTCGGAGGACACCAAGATATTTTGTCATGCCATGCCAAGCAGTTTGCCTAGATCCATGTTTGAAGTGTGTTATTTTTAGGCTCTAATAACGCTCTTGCTTCTGTCATTCTGATGCTTTATCCTTGTCAGAGTCAATTTGCCTGAGATCTGCATTTTGTTTGGCACAGAAGGCTCGTTGAATTTATCCATGGAGGAAAGTGATATCAGACTGACAGACCCAGAACTCAATTGCATCCCTTTTCTTTCACACACACACAACATATATTCATGCACGCATACACACAGTACTAAAAGTCAAGAAGCCAGCCGATAGCAACAGTTGTCAAGCTGCTGTTACCTGGGCAACCTGGTTAGAGGTAAGGCTTGAGTCAAGAAGAAATGGTTCCACAGGAGGGAGAGAATGAGAGTGGGATTAGAAGAAGATGGAAGACCAGAAGGGAGAACAAAAGAGCAGGCCCCGCCTAGAAGGGAAAAAAAGGTTTCATGCAAAACCGCTGACTGTAGCTATCTAAAACATGCTGATCGATGGTGAGATTGATTCCAGATTGGTAGATTCATCTACAGTTTTGACTGAAAACCTGGTGGTGAAAAGGTTTTAATGATTAGTGAATGCAATAGGGCAGCTAGTGACGATTCTGCCTGTTGATGGCTGTGATCATATAAAAAGATCAGAGATGCATCATTAATTAGGCGTGTGAGTCTCCCCATTCCACTCCTGGGGTTATTCTGTGAAAAGACTGTGCTCTCAGTCAACTGAGGCTGACTAATACTCTAACACGCACAATACTACTCTAATACCAAGGATCTACAGCAGCTCCATCATCGGAAAAACACACAAAAAATTCTAATTTTTGTGTTGCTCAAAAATGGAAAGATTAGAATACTCTTTAGCAGACAAAAATGAAAATATACTGAAAAATAAAAATAATTTATTCTGAATATGTCATGTGATTATGAGTGTAGGAATACAGAAAATGACAACTAAAAAGGGAAAGTTCACTACTGACCAGCATACATCTGCTTTGAAAATTCCCCATAGGCCAAATTAAGCAACATGCTGCACTCCACAGCAACACAGACAAAGCAAGACAGACACACACACACACACACACACACACACACACACACACACACAGAGTAATGGCACACATCCATTACACATCAACAAGCACAGCACAGAACCTTAGAACTGAACAGTCTTGGCTTTTGCCACCTCATACTTTTCAAAACCTTATTTGTGTACATCAACGGGTCAAAGGGGCACACCACAGGATGTCACTTTCGCTTCCGTCTGACCGTTCAGCACCCCCTTCACCATCCATCAGTCAGACGTTGCACTGCTGATGTAATGATGGTTGACCCTGGACAGAGGAACAAAGGGGGGGGGAGGGTGAGAGAGAGAGAAAGGAACTAAAACATCTGCAAAGCCAGGGGCAGACAGAAAGACTGGGAGAGAGGGACAGGGACAGAGGGAAAAAAAAACCACAGAGGAGGTGAAGAGGATATTGTCCTAACTTGTTCCTCTACCATTCAGACACGTTGACTTCTCAACCTCAGTACAGGTCAAAAGGGACACAGGATTGGTTAAAAGAGGCTTTTAAATTTAGTCATATGCCTCTTGTACACAAAAGCCAATCCCACCCATATGGTCACATACACAATGCAGTGACTGATTAGGCCAGTGTTTCTTTCTGCAGATAATCAGCACCATGGAAACTCAGGTGTCCAACGGTCCGAGCGGAACCAGCATGCCTAACGGCCCGGTCATCAGCACTAACGGCGCTACAGACGACAGCAAGACCAACCTGATCGTCAACTACCTGCCTCAGAATATGACCCAGGAAGAGTTCAAGAGCCTATTCGGCAGCATCGGCGAGATTGAATCCTGCAAGCTAGTCAGAGACAAGATCACAGGTGACTAAGGCATTGCAAATCCCAAATGCTGGTGGGATATTAGTGCATGCAAATATTTATCAGGCTGTGGCTGACCATTTTGGTTGATCTGCAGGTCAGAGCTTGGGCTACGGCTTCGTAAACTATGTCGACCCCAATGACGCCGACAAGGCCATCAACACGCTCAACGGTCTCAAACTGCAGACAAAAACAATCAAGGTAAGAGCACCTCGACCCCACGCTTCCCAATCATGCTGTCAACAGGCAAGGAGAAGGGGAAGAAAGGAGAGGCAGATATGACAGAGGGAGAGGAGGAGAGAGGGAGGGACAGAGGGCAGGGAAAGGGAAGGCAGGAACAAAAGGACCAGAAGAAAAGAGAGAGGGAGAGACGAGAGCAGAGGTCAGAAAGCAAGGGGGCTGTGTGCAGAGGTGATTGTGATGGAAATGTAATTAGGGAGGTGCAGTGCAGGGCATTGGGGGGAGTCAGTGCAGGGAGCCCCATCTGCCTCCAATCTTGGCTAATTAGGGCCTTCTTTGTCCCCAAAATTCAGTTGGGGATCGGGGAAGGGGTTAGTCTGGGATTTAGGAAGAAAGAGAGATTAAACCAGCCAGCCTGGTAACCCCACCTGATCAAAGAACATCAAAGATTGTGACAAAGTGCAGACTGAGGAAGATTTAGACGGCACACAAGCTATATGGAAAATTAGCAGAAAGGACGAAGGATGTAAACACATCTGACTACACCATAAAAACGTGTACATCATATTTGTATTATTTGTGTCACTCATTTGTCATTTTTGTATTTGCATCATAATCATTTATCACAATTATATTCTGATTATGCTAAATAATCTCTGAAATAACATAATTTATATTTGTTATTAGATCAAAGCCTAGATCAAAGCAATGCAAAAAATACCAGAAAGAGTATTACTCGGTCTTTTGCTTACGTCTTGCATCATGAGTAAGAAGCAGTATTCACGGCAACATTCCAATAATTCTGTCACTATTGTTAATATACTGCTAATATCATAATCTGTTTGTACATTTTTTCCTGCTGGCCTTCTCACCCCCTGTTCGCTGGCATTCATCATTTGTGTGCCTGGTGTGTCCAAATCCTTAAGCTGAGCAAATGTCATATTTTCCATGTCAATAAGGCATTGTTAGAGAGAGGGGGGGGCACAGGAGCAAAGGCTAGGAGGAGGTAGCGTGGGGAGCAGAATGCCAATGACAGGATTAGAGGCCATATGGGCTGCAGGCACCATCTGTAGTGTGGGAGAGATAGGGAGAGGGTTAATTATAGGGCAGAATCCAGTATTCTAATACAACACCCTACCCCGCCCCAGCCAGCCTGCAGCCCAATCTCCGCCATACACCCACCCACTTGCTGAACAATAACGCCTCGGACCCCAATAATACAGCCGCTTAGTCATAGTCACCCCCAGCGCGCATACACACACCAATGATGCAAACACAGAGCCTACGCCTTTCACTGCTAGCAATTACCCTTAGTGTTCTACAGTACGTGTGTAGGATTATAAAGACACTCAAAAAATGCCCAGGCACACTAAAAAAATGAAACATTAAAATGAAGTCAAAGATTAAACCTTTAAACAAATTTCAAATTGTCTAAAAGCAGTCACAAAAAGCTGCTGTTTGTGACAATAACATCTTTATAGACACAAGACTGCCCTTGCTGCAACCCCTATGTGGAAAATTAGTGTAAATAAAAATCAGGAAATACTATACATTTGTGCCGTATTTGGCTAGGATGCGAGCGTGTTTGTGAGTTGTCAGGGACGCTGGACATCTTGTAATCTGTTTACTTGGTTTGCTGGTTGCCAGAGGAGCAGTTTTCCCTTGAGACGGAAGACAAAGAAGGGAGGGAGGAAAGGGAGGGGCAATCTCTCTATCGCACAAAAACACAGACACAGACATTCACAGCGATGCCATCAATCACAGTCATTTGCATTCAGCCACAAATTCATAAATAAACATTTTTTATGAGTAATTCTGTTCTCATTACAACTGCTGCTCAGACTACTGAGTGAGGTCAACAGAAAGGGTCATAATGCAATATTAAAACAAATTCTAAAATGAAATGCATCGTCTCCACAATAAGTTTTGTGTTTAGAGATCACTTGAAAATGTACAATTTAAATTTTCCTATTAGGTTCTTGGTCAGCAGACCTTAGATTAGGGATGAATGACTTGGGGAAAACATAACTGCAATTAAAAGGTGACTACTGTCTACAAATTAAGCCCCAAGTCAATTTTTTTCCAAGAAGACAAGCATGTCTATTTTTTGGACTTGAATGCTGAATGTAGTGTGCCAGACTGCCAGTTCACAAGTTATTATTAGGTTTAAAATACAATTGCATCTCTTGCTATTTTAAAATGGCACTCTTTTCAATTGCGATATCAATATAAAAACACTTAATCATTCAGCCCTAAATCAAATCAGTGTGGACTGAATGAATATAAGTAGATCTAAGAAGACATGTAAGTGTAGGACTGTGTAGGACTGTATTTATAGAGAGGGACTGTGATCAGGAAGCAGTGTGCTGGAGTGTGTATTAAGAGTACTAGAGTGAATGTGGAATGAAGTGTAAGAGAAGTGGAGCTGAAGAAAAGGAATGATGAGAGATATGTATGTAGCTTCCTTGTGGAAAAACTGTAAGCATACTGGCAATGGCACCCATGTTTGAGATGCTAGGTAGCACATACAGAATCGATGTGTGGGCTCAGCGTGTATAACTGGTTGTTTAATGCGCCTGTGTTATAGGTGTCATATGCCAGACCCAGCTCAGCCTCCATTCGAGATGCTAACTTATATGTGAGCGGCCTGCCTAAGACCATGAGCCAGAAGGACATGGAACAGCTGTTCTCCCAGTATGGTCGCATTATCACGTCCCGCATCCTGGTGGACCAGGTCACAGGTATAGCCTTAACTCACCTCTGTTATAGCACAAACCTCAGCACTGGCCATTAGCACCAGTCAAGAGTAGTTCTAGGGGAACTACAGGAGGTATAGTGAGATTAAACTGATGTGGTCTGAAACATAATTTTACAAGATTATTTCACCCAAAATGGTCATATTTATGAATATTATTATTACATAATATATACTAAATAAGTATAATAAAAAGAATAATAATATTGTAAGGCCCACATCATGTTTTGTTTTTTTTTTTAATTTGATGTGCTATATAAACATTGTTAAAATTTCGAAATGTATTAGACACTCTGCAGTCCACATTTGGATACTAAGCTGCAAAAACAGTCATAAACTTCACACAACCACCCATTCAGCCTACCCACCTATTTACAAAGTAAAGGAGTGTTGTTACTGTAGTAGCCTGGACTGCTTTTTGAATGTGGTGTGCTTTCAATCTCATATATATATATATATATATATATATATATATATATATAAACAGCCTAATTTATATGAAAAAATTGAAAAACCTACTCCATGCTAAAATTATGACTGTAAAACCAAAACCAGTACACCAGAATTATGTCCTTGGTGCTAACATTGTCCCCTGCTTTGTGATTCCCGGAGCAGGCATATCACGAGGAGTGGGCTTCATCCGGTTTGACAAGAGAAACGAGGCCGAGGAGGCCATCAAAGGTCTGAACGGCCAGAAACCCCTGGGCGCTGCTGAGCCCATCACTGTCAAGTTCGCCAACAACCCCAGCCAGAAGACAGGCCAAGCCCTGCTCACCCAGCTCTACCAAACAGCCGCCCGTCGCTACACCGGCCCCCTGCATCACCAGACCCAGCGCTTCAGGTACTGCCCCCACCCATAAACCTAATCACTGCTCTCTCTGCTCCTCTCTACCGGCCTTTCCTTTAAACTGCAGCGCTGTCACCCCATTAGAGGGAATGAAGGCCCAACATGGGTCTACAGCCAAAGGAGATGCGTATATTTACAACAAAATTCTATGGCCATTCATATAGATTGACTCTGTGTTATGAAGCACAGCAGGGCAGTAGAATACTGCAGGATAAAAAACAGCGTGTGAATCAGTCGTGGCATTAATGTATTCCTGTGCGTTCATATTCTCACACACACACACACACACACAAAGAGAGATACATGCATGCAGTACTCTCAATCCATTGCCTGAGGGCCCTGAAAGCACTGCGTCAGAGTGCTGGGCGAGTCCTGTCGGTTGATTGGCTGAGGCTAAGACCCATTTAGAGTTCCCTCTAGTGGCCGCACAGGCTGCATGTTAAATGAAAACCCTGTTCTCTGGTTTGTCGAATCTTGCCACTAACGTCTCCACCTCCTTCACTCTCCCTCTTGCATTGCAGACTCGACAATTTACTAAACGCCACCTACGGAGTCAAGAGGTAATTTCCAAAAAAGGTGTCTTTTCAAAAGCATCCATGCCTAAAACAACCTCTAACAAAGTACCCAGAATACCCCCTGCTGACTTAACCTTGAAATTAGAAAGGCAGTTTGAAATGCAGAATCCATTTCCATATTTAATGTGAGATTACACATAAACAAGGGTTAAGTGAAAAACAACTTTGCCTTACAGCAGGACATTCTGGCATGGCTTTGTTGAACCTTTTCGTTCTTTTGGTTGATTACTTGATTGAACTGATTTGTATGTATTTATTTATTGAACTAACATTTAATTTTTTTTCAGTTTCGGTTGCTTTAATGTCCTTTTTTTCCACCAGCATGGACATACCAGATTCCGTTTGCGTCTCTTCTGTTCGCTCCAATCTTTTGCGTTGATTTATTTCTTATTTGCTTTCATCCCTCTCTAGGTTTCTGTGTTTTTGCTCAATATTGTGAGATTTCTGTTGGACATTGTGATTCCTGTGTCCTATTTCTACAGAGACTTTGGTCACCAAGGAGTATGACTAAAATATGCAGAGAATGTGGGCTAATGCGCGTTAGGGAACAAAGCATTTTTAAGTTTTTTTTTTTCTTTCGAGTGCAAGGAGGTAGTTTTGTAACCTGTAGCATTGCCTGCACATTTAAAAAAAATTTCTGCTTAAGGCTGTGGAGATGAGGATCGGCAAAGGTTCCAAATCAGCAGGGGCATGTTCCTGTGTGAATGCATTTTGAAGGTAGTGTGCTGCATGCGGCATGGAACTTCAGAATGACACCCATGGTAGTTCTCCATCTCTTCTCCCCAGGTTCTCCCCCATCACCATCGACAGCATGACAAGTCTGGCGGGGGTCAACCTGACTGGCCCCACTGGAGCAGGCTGGTGCATTTTCGTCTACAACCTGTCGCCTGAAGCTGACGAAAGTGTCCTGTGGCAGCTCTTCGGGCCCTTTGGCGCCGTGACCAACGTCAAGGTCATCCGTGACTTCACCACCAACAAGTGCAAGGGCTTCGGCTTCGTCACCATGACCAACTACGACGAGGCGGCCATGGCCATCGCCAGCCTCAACGGCTACCGCCTGGGTGACCGCGTGCTGCAGGTGTCCTTTAAGACCAGCAAGCAGCACAAGGCCTGAGGGCGGGGTGTTAGGGACGGCACGGTCACTAGCGCTCCTTATCCCTGCAAGAGGGGGGTCTCGGAGCTCCCCGCACATTCACTCTACATGGGCCTGGACTGAGTCTCTCTCTGACACTCATTTAACACACACATACATACACATTACATGCACATACACGACACACACACACATTTAGTCAGAGTTTCAGAAAAAAAATACAAACACAAGTTTTTTCTTTTTCTCTTTACACAACATGCTAGTCCTTCCCTACGTTTGCCTGGATTGAATTAGCAGGAGTGGGTAGTTGGTCTATGGGTGGGGTGGGGTGGGGGGCCTTTCGCAAGGGAGACAGTTTTAATGAATGTGACAGAGAATGTGTGCTGAGTGCTTTGATTTAATTCAGGCAAATTATGAGAACTGATGAACAAAAAAATGATCGAAAAAAAGTATGTGCAATTTACCCAAACTCTTGCCCCAATAACTCTCCTGTCTTGATGGAGAGTATGTAGTCACTTTTTTACACTTGGGCATTTTGAATCAGTGAGTTTTTTTAGATCTAAGAAAAAAAAGAATTAACAGTGTTCTCTTATATATATTATGATATAACTATATATTCAATATTTAAGGTGGTTATAATAGCCAAGTATGTAAGCATTTTCTAGAACTTTGATTACAGTTTCCTGGCTTTACATAAGGTTGCAGTCTAGCTTTAGGGCGCTGTACCACCCCACTCAAGGTCCGACCCAACAGCCAATTTAACAATGTGCGTGATGGCAGACACAAGGCTAAAAGGATATAAGGAGGGCATCATAGTCACCTCAGTACACGGAGACACAACAGTGACCATAAATACAAACAAGAACCAACACATACATACTTCCACGTAAAGAAATAGCCAAGATTTATTTAACTACATCACAAAGTAACCTAGAATCTCCCTATATTTTTCCACTCTAGTTTCTTATAGTGTAGAACTGATTCTAGAGCATAGAATTGAGTCCACCACACGCAGCTGTCTACATTACTTGGAGCATTTCGGTAGTGTTCCCAAAGCTGATGGCATTTGTGTAATTCTTTTTGAAAAGGCCAGGGGTCCATCTAGAACAACACCATCATGCTCAGTAACCAACCCTGACAAGGAAACTTCAAAACTTTCACATCTAAAAAGGTTTCCTGCGAAGGGACGGCTCTACATTAACATGAGGCTGCATCACATTCCCTTAGAGGCAATTTTATAAGTATCGGGTGTTTTACAATGTATTTTAGTGAGAAAGCCATACAGATGAAAGGTGTCAAAGCCTGATGTTGTGAGGACTACAGGGAGTGAGGTTAGTTAGTACCTGTTCTCCCTTCTTCTCGTAACTTCCCTCCGAGTCACTGCGCCGGATCACTCCAGCCATTCTTATCTATCAAACTGACAAGCTTTGGGCTCCCACACTGTGGTCCTCATGCAATTTACAGCAGCAGCCCTGCAAAAAAAAAAAGAAGAAGAAAAAGAAACAAAAAAATGCACAGACAGCCCCATGCCTCCAACACGAGCTAGGATCTTCCATTCCCGTGCCCTATTTTAAGCCATAGCCACCTGATAAACAAAAATATCACTCCGTTTGACCACCCCTGCCAAATAATTATTAATCCCCTTTAAAAAGATATTCTGAATAAAAATGCCCATAGTTCAAAGCCCTAAAAAATACTCTTAAAAACAAAGCTGTTCCACGGGGAGAGAGACGTTGCTGTAAAAATGAAAGAGAACTTCACTTGACAGAAAGAGAAAGGTTCAAAATGTGTGTTCAAATCAAATGACATTTTGCTTTTTCTAAATAACGCTGTGTTAGCCAAAGAGGACAATGATCTCTTTGAAAAAAAAAAAGGATTACGTTAGAGATTAATATATTTTTATATCTACAAAAAAACAAGACCTTGTGCAACATTTTTACAGATTCTTAAGCGTGGAAACCTTTGGAACACACCGCATGGCTTTTATTTTCAGCTTTTGGGGGAGAGAGGGCCCAACTGTGCGGTGTATGGGAGGGGATTGGGGACTATAACATACAGTATGTGCAGTGAAACCATTACATAATCAAAAACACAAAAAACAAACTGAAAAAAAAGATGATACTAAAAAGCAATTAGCAGACAGTCAAAAGAATGCATTACGATAAAAAAAACAACATAAAAACAACGCTTAAAACGTTCCAGTTTCTCTAAAGTTGCATCAAGCGTTGCTTCAACAGCGGTGCAGTGAAGCCCCATGGCATCACTGGGGACACCATGAACTAGCTGCAGTCTGCTCCAGAAAGGCTTGATACTTGCAAACTGACTCATTTCTATCTGAGCATCTCCTTTTGGCAGTTTAAAATGAAATGTATAATCTACCATTCATGCTTGACATGCTCAATGCACCAAAGAATCTGTTTAAATTTGGCATATCCTACCACAGCTGCACTTAATGTTAATCCTATCTATATACACAATAGCTCACTTTAGACTAAACTATATGCTCCAGTACTTCATATCATCACGATGACGGTACATACATATTGTCTGCTATCACACTATTTTTCATCCTTGTATTACTTTTAGACATATCAGAGTTGATTTAAACATATCACACCTTTCTTTCACCATCTTGACCCATAGTGGCCCATATCTTTCACTCCTCATTTTGCTCCTTTGCATAAGCACTAATCAACTGAGGGGTCAAAGCTTGGTCACTGAATAGATCGGTCTCACAACAGCTAGTAAGGACATTCTTTGGAGAAGTAAGACAGCTTGCACTGCAAAAAACCCCAAACACGTATCAAAGCGTCGCTTGACACCCCAGTTCCACGTCACTTGCTCTCTCTTACTGTCCCCCGTAATCAAAGATACAGTCGCATTTAACCAATTCCTCCGGTTACTACTAGGCTTTTGTATTCATATCACCATACCGATGCTACTCACATCCAAGTACTCTTTTGTAACGCAAACAATGTATCCCGGACCTCTTTGCCCATTTTATTTGTTGGTGGTGTGCCGATGAAAAAGGCGTGATTAGCTTCTAATAATATATCAAGCCTTGGTAGCCTGCCTGATGAGATTTTTGACCACTCTCTAGTGTTAGCAACAGGGGCAGCTAGGGTAGAAACAGGATACTTGGCAACCCAGGGCGATTTTTCCTAATGCCCTTGGGAGGATGTAGCTAGCCGGGCCTTTTCTGCTGTAGCAGAAAGGCCTTAGTGTCCTCACCTCTGGCCACAAACCCAGTGCAGATTAGCCCTTTAGCATGACACACATACATAAACACAAACACAGCGAATCCAGAGACCCTCTCCCCACAGCTACAGTAGAGAGCCAGGGACAACGGCAGGAGACACACGTACTGCACCGCTTGAGCAACAAACAACAATAAATCATTTAAAAAGACAAAAAAACTTTCCTATGGAACAGTAAGTGCAATGTGCTTCGTTTTTATATTGACTGAGAACAAAAGATATATATATTTTTTAAAAAATACGTTAAACATCACACTGAAATGGTTTGCGGAATAGTGAAAGGATCAAATGCAATGAACAAGTGTTAACTAACAGATTCAATAAAGGAATCAAACAAGCACCGAGAGCTCTGATCTCTGATAATGTCCATTATCCCTTCCTCAGCCCCCCAATTAGTGCTCTGACCAAGGTAAACTAAACAGCCGTTTATGGTACTGAAAAGGGCAATTATCAAAGACCGTGAAAGGAATACTGTCTAATATTTCATCAGTTTTAGCCCATGTCGATTTCAGAATATCATTTTTCCTGTAATTTATTGATTTACTTTACATATCAGAATCACATGTTAACTTTAGCGTATTTGTGTTGTTGACGTTGCCATAGAGAACACACATGGGTTGAATATTTTCTTTCGTTGCTTCTATTGGGTACAATTTCTATTTTTTTCCATTATTTAAACTTAGTTGCTGTTCCTACAGTGTATGCAGGTTTTAGAATTAGTTAGATTTTTTTCTTTCAATCAAAATGTGTTCAATTGTGTTTGTAAAAGTCTGTGGTAGCTTTTGTTGCAACATAAATAATTTAAACGGAAAAAAATTCAATATAGCGCCAACGAACTTGTATTATTTGGGCGACTTTAAGCTTGTAGTTTTAACTTATTGTTAACTTAAAAACTATTTATTATCATTATTATGATTATTATTATTGCCTCGTATAAAAGTATGTTTTGTGTATATTTATGGTTTATTTCATTATATTTGCAAGTTGAAAAGAATTTTAATTTTGCCAAAATGTGGTTACACCGTTTTGTTTTTTAAAAGGGAACAAATAGACTAAAAAAGAAAAAAAAAACAGCTTTAGAATTACGATTTGGAAAAGTTCTCCATAGGCAAAGAATGCACTGCTATATAAAACTAATTGAAAGTGTAAACATACATGCTGTGTGCTAGATGTTATGCCTTTACTGCCTGTGTTTCGTTTGTCTTGTTAAATGAAAACCTTTTGATTATTTGATCTAATCACAGTCTTGTTTTTTCCAGCCACTTTCAGACCCCCTGAGAGAGAGAAGGTGGGAGGGTGGGCAAAAGGGTATTCGGGCCTGGAGTACAGGCCTGACAGAGAGGGGCTGTTTGAGGCAGGTTCTGATGGGGCTCTACCAGCACCTCCCCTTTCTCCTCGGCTTAAGTCAAACAAACGGAGATAAAGGGAAAGGAAACTAACACCGAGAGATGGGCATTCAAGCTGATATTTTAAATAACCCAGCAGCGGCAGGAGGGATGGGTGCTGAGAGAGCCACAGAGCTAGAAAAGGGGTCAGTGGTTCCTCTGTTTCTCAACCAATTGTATTTTGTGTCAATTAATTTAGAAGGGATACAGAGTTACTTAGCGATGTTCTTCTTACACCATTTCTCAAGAATGGTACAATAACACAGAAGCAAACGATCAAAAGCAGAGCCCCTGACGTCAGTGTCAGAGGGCTACGAGTCAAAATCATACTTCCAAACACGACCAAACGAACAACGAACAATGTAACAAAGGGGGAAAAAAAAAAAAAACAAATAAACCTTTCAGTTTAGTTTAGGATATTTATTACTGGGATTTCAGCTGAAGACGCTTGAGGACTTTTTCATGGAATTGTTTAATTATTTGTACTTTACATGCCAGAAAAAAAATAAAATAAAAGTTACGAATCCTAGTGTCTCTGGTTGTTTTTCTGTTTGCTTAGGTTTGTGTGGGTGGCTTCGATAGGAGACCTGAAAAAGGCTCAGTGAAGGAGCAAGGACGTTCTGTATAATTAACTCCACGACTGACACCTCTGGAGTGCAGCAATGAATACGAATCGCAGCACAGACTTCACAGTGCACAGAGTTACAGTCATTACCATATACACTCTTTATAGACTGCTGTCTATACAGTTCCCACCCCACAGTAACAGTACAGTCTAAACTACTATGAAAATAGAGTAGTTTCCTCTTACTGTTTAAGGAGGGGGGAAAAAAAAAACATAAAAAACCTTTCACACACACACTCAAAGAGATACCAGAATTAATAACATAATCTGGGGCCTTCACATTAAAATTGAACTTTATTTGCAACATAATGGATGGAATGTGAGTTCTTTATAAGTAAAAACAAACTAACAACAAAACAGGAGACATGACAACTACTGCTATGATTTTCACCAACAGGTGATCTTGGGTTGATTACAGCAGACATGCCGACTGGATGACAGTTGCAGGCGTGGTCCCCAAAGAACAACCTATAAAATTGAAAAGGACAGAGAGGAAATGAAGCAATGCCAGACAGAGGGTGGCCTAACAAACTATTAAGCTACAATAATAAAAGTTTACAGAAGTTTACAGTTTACATAAAGCTAGAGTACTAGAATTTTTTCAATTTCTGCAAATGCTTTACAGTATAATACTATAACATTGTCCACAGTACATATTACCTGTATTGTGCTAAAATATAGAGAACAACTGTATACTATATCCACACTACCAAAAGCTTGGAATGGAATTGCCATATTAACATAAGACACAACTTATTCACCAAAAGCTATTTTTAAACGTTTTATTCAATATCTCAAGAATTCTGTGAACAAGCAGTAAATAAAATGATAAATACGCTGTTTTGTTATCTCATAAGATATCTGCCTTGAGATTTGACCTGCATTTAATTCTAATATAACTAATATAACTACACAGCTTTGTCATTTTAGAATTGTCTAGTTTCGTTCATCATTTGACAAATCTACATTTTTACTGTTTATTACAGCTTCCTACAGTCCTACTAAGTATCTAAAACCTGTATAAGACTAACATATTAGAATCATGTTATACAGCTGTCTGCAACCAAACTGACAAAATATCTAAACAGTGATTCCAAACTTTTAAACAGTAGTATAAAGACAATAAACTGTGGAATGCTATCCAGTAGTTAAAAAAACATTAACCTTTCTGAACATATCCAGGGGTTTTGCTACTACATAATTAGATCCATTAGTTGCTAATTCAGCCTAGTTTTATTCCACTGCCCATTTCTCACTGTAGTGATTATGGGCCTTTCTAACACTGACCTTTCTGTCTGCTCCTGACCTCCTCCATCTCAACTCCCTGCGTTTGTGCAGAAGGCACCAAGGTCACGATACCAGCTCCGCTTTGTACAGAAATTTATGAAAGTACTTGGAATCAGCTCACTTCAAGTTCAGATGACTTAGTTTTCACACAAACCTGACACCATGAACCTCCTTTGAAGTGAGGTTCAGTTGTAAGTGGTGGGAGGACTGTGTACTTGTCAAGTAACACCACTACCAAACTTAGTTTAGTGCTTTCTCCTACAAAACTCTGTCAAAGTCTTAAGCTCCTCAGTAATAAATTCTCACCACTGAGTACACAAAGAGCGCGTGCTCTAGAACTCATCGTGGCCATGCAGTAAGGAGTTGACAGCGTCCGGCTCCTGGCACACGGCGGGTGTGGTGAACTCCATGAGGTACTCGCAGCGGCTGGGCTCAGACGTTGACATCACTGTGGTCTCTTTCCCACAGGTCAATTTCACCTGAAAAGAAGAGGTACGTCAGTGCAGCAGGTGGCAACACTTTTTTGATAGTCCACTGTAGAAGCATTGTACTTACATTCAATGAAATATATATAAAATTCAACTTAGCTTTTCTCTTACTCTAATCCTAACCTTAATGAAAATCTGAATATCTGCGGCACTACTCCCTGAATTAAAAAGCCTTTATTGTACTATAGCTATGGACAAGTCGAGAGATTTTCTGTCCATAGGCATGCTACAATGCAGGCTTTTAATTCAGTGAAAGAGGGATATGAGATATTCCTCTTTTTCACAAGTTTTTGGACCCTACTTCATAAACCGCCTTTGATACCCTACCAGCAGCACTATCTATTAGGCATTATTACTAATAAGGGAAATTTCAAAGTGGCAAAATTTACAAATAATTTCATAATTTCATTTTGGTACAAAAAACAGGAACCAGTAATTAAAAATGATTTGTTCCCTGCACTCTCCTGCACCAGTCAGCACAAACGTGCTGTGAGGGGCATAATCTCTGTTCATCCCAAGTATCAAAAGGAGGTACAACGCCCAAGAACTTCTACATTACAGGTTTGATAACACTTGAAAACACAACATCCTGCTCAATAAGCAGAGAACAGCAAAAAGGAAAGTCTATGCCAGCACACACAGCTGTAGCCTCAGCCATCACAAACAACAGTGCCAAAAGTGCAAAGAATAACTAAAACAATGGGGTTCATTGCCACTTATCTGTTGTCAAGGATGTTCATGGGACATACTGTAGCCAATATACAGAAATAATGTTACTAAGTTTATTCCATGTAAACTGTTTTTATGTATTGTCAGCTCACTGACCTACCATTTTGTCCTACTACTCTCTATGTTTGTACTTTTCTGAAGATACTGTAGTTTGTTAACAACGTGATTATTTGCTTATATAAACTACATGTGATGTGCTATAGGTGACCATCAACTACATGGGATGTGCTATAGGTTTACTTACTGTGGTAGACCTGTTAGGACCCTGCCAGCACCCGGTACCATGTTCATACTTCATCACCAGGTACCTATTATCCTCAGGTCCCGCCCAGGTTCCCCATGTCCTAGACACACATATACCAATGGAGAGAAATAGAGTGAGAGATCTTATCTCTTTTTTTAATCACTCTTTCTCTTAATAATACAAAATCGAAATATCAGAATATTAGAATTAGTAATTAGAATTAGTAATATTACCCAAGGTTGGTCTCTGAGCCTCCATACTTGGGTTTCTGGGACACGCGGTTAAACGGACATAACTTGTAGATATACCTACGGAGAGAAAAGTATGACTGTGAATAAGCAGAAACATCTCATACTATGAAAAGTACAACCCACTAAGGAATGTCTACAGTTTCACAACCACAGAAGGCTGTTTAACTTACTCGCTAGTGGAGAGCTCATAGCATTGGCTGTAAAGGTAGGAGAACTCCGCATCAGGCCCAAAATCAAAGGAAATCTCTTTTTCGATGTTTCTGTTAAAGGAGAGACGTGTACAGACATATAAATTAACCAAAGCATTGCAGATTTACAGAATTTGCGGAATTTTGTATTGCACTGATTCTGGCATAATTGCACTAACTTTATCTGATCATCCACATCACGCAGAGCTCTCTCAGATTCTTCAAAGTTGTCCCTGGCTTTCTGAGCAGCTGCACATGACAAAAAGACCATTACAGTCACCACAGAGTGCACTACTTGTGAATGATAAAAAGGACATGATACTTAAACCTGTGGCATTCACTCAAACTCCACTATGAGAAGCCTGGCTGGTACAGGGAAAACTGACCATCAATTAGGACCTGAGTCTCATCGTCATATGGTGGCATGGCTTCCTCATCTTCATCTTTTTTCGGTGGAGTTTTAATGGTGGGGGGAGCCTGCACCACAAAATACAATTTCTTTTACTTACATGCTCACAAAAGAAGATCACAGAGCAGACAGTCCATTTCGTCAGATGAAAGAGCAGATAGTTATATTCACTTTTCTCACCTTGTCAAAGTCTTCCTCAGGGTAATCATCTTCTTCCTCATCATCCTCATCTTCCTCTTCCTGGACATCGTCGTCACTAGGGTACTGCTCAGAGTCGTTATCTGCGAGGGGCTTACTGCCTTCTTCAGGTGGAGCGTCCACTGGCGCTGGCTCCACAGGCTGTGACTGTAAAAAATGTGTTCATTTGTTCAGTGTGTGTGCCTATGTGTGTGTGTGTGTGTGTGTGTGTGTGTGTGTGTGTGTGTGTGTGTGTGTGTGTATGTGTATGTGTGTGTATATATATATATATATATATATATATATATATATATATATATATATATATATATATATATATATATATATATATATAATCTTTAGGAATTTTACGGTTTTCTGCATTAATTTGTCATAAAATGTGATCTGATCCTCATCCAAGTCAAGAATATTCACAAATATAATGTGCCTAAAATAATAACACAAAAAAATTATGATCATTCATTTCTTCGTTGAGAATAACCATAACAAACCTCATAGTGCTAGTGGATAAAGTATGCGAACCTTGTTGAAGTCTTGTTAAGAAAATGAGTTTGGAGGTGTGGACTAGAGCTACTTTGACTGATAAAAACCACTCAAACTTTTTGAGTTTGCTCTGCACAAGAAGGATACGCGTATGTGAGCCATGTCTCGCCAAAAAGAGCTTTCAGAGGATCTACGATCAAAAATTAGTGATTTACATAGAGCTGGAAAGGGTTACAAAGTGATTTCAAAGACTTGAGAAATTCACCAGTCTACAGTAAGGCAAACAATCTACAAATGGAGACAATTTGGGACTGTGGCTACTCTGCCAAGAAGTGGGCTCCCAGTCAAAATGACCCCAAGAGCACAACAAAGACTCATCAATGAGGTAAAGAAACAACCCCGAGTGGCAGCCAAAGATTTGAAGGCATCATTGGTACAGGCTAACATGTGATCATGAGTCTACAGTCCGTAAAACCTTGAACAAGCAGGGTGCCTATGGCAGGACACCACAAAGGAAGCCGCTGCTTACTAAAAAGAACATTGCTGCACACCTGAAGTTTGCAAAAGAGCACATTAACACTCCACAACGGTAATGCCAAAATGTTTTGTGGACAGATGAAACTAAGACTGAACTATTTGGAAAAAACACGCAGCACTAAATCTGGCGTAAAAAAGGCACTGCACATCACCATGAAAATATCATCCCAACCGTAAAGTATGGTGGAGGGAACATCATGATTTGGGCCTGCTTTGCTGCATCAGGGCCTGGCCAGCTTACAATTATTGAGGGGAAGATGAATTTCCAAGTGTATCAAAAAATTCTACAGGATAATGTGAGCGTGTACGTCAGCTGAAACTCTGTAGAAGTTGGGTGATGCAACAGGACAATGACCCAAAACACTGGGGCAAGAATGGCTTATGACACCAGAATGGCTTATGAAAAACAAAATCCACCTTTTGGAGTGGCCAAGTCAGAGCCCAGATCTCAACCCTATAGAAATGCTATGGATTGACTTGAAGAGAGCCGTACACATGAGGTGTTCAAAGAATATGACAGAGCTAAAGCAGTTCTGCCAGGAAGAATGGGCTAAAATTCCTCCTGAACGATGATCCACAACTACAGGAAGCGCCTGCAAGATCATATTTTTTTTGTGTTATTATTTTAGGCACATCTCATTCTAAAGCACATTATAAGATTATCATATCATGATATTCTTGCCTATTCCTTTTTATTTCTACTTATTCACAGAAAATATTATTAGCAATAAATTACACTGCCCTCATATGGAGTGACATGGTATAACAACACACCACAGAGAATTAAAAAAGGATCTTTCCACTTTTATTTAAGATTAAGCATCTGATGGATTTCAATTAATTTTCTCAAAAATGATTAAACTTTGCCAACGACATCATTTTAGCAAAATCCGCCACTACCAAGGGAGTATACCCCCCCATCCTCCAAACTCATCTAGCCCACGCTCTTTTAATGTCCAGAGTACAAACAATAACGCGTGCAAAACAAGGTAGCTAGTGAAACGCTAACATTGGCTAATGGAACTGTTTATCCCTTGCAAGAGATAATGTTTATTTTTACCTCATGTAACATGTTCTACACACCCATGGCACATATCTATCTACTTAACTGGAGTCTTCTGGGGTACCTTTTAGTCATGCTAACTTGGGTTAGATCAATGGGTTTATGACAGGCTTGTTGTCCACAATGTTGAAGTGTGCATTTACTTTGCCCTGTCTTGAACTGCCTTCACGAGACGTTGAACTAGTGTAGAAATTTCACATACTACTTGTACCTATACTAATAAGTCTATATTCTCCCACTAATTTAGCTCAAAATTTTTCAGTTGTCTTCAAACTCTCATTACGAGATCACATCTGGTCCCCCTAGACAGATTAATTCAAATTTCAAATACAAATAAAACTTACAAATAAAAAATCCTGATTGAGACAAAAGTTTGTTTAAAAATAGTAGGCTTAGATGTATTGTAGCCAATCATAGACCCTGGTAATGTCAGGCGTGTCACTGTCTTGTGAATCATTACTCACCTCTGAGACATACTTGTCCTTAATATTATTCCACACATTCTCAAAGGAAGCTGTGTCTACACGGTCAACTCCTCCAAGCAGCCCCTGCAGGGAAAATCACAATGCACTAAACAGAACGAGCAGGGAGAAAAACAAAAGAAAGCAATAAAGAAAAGTAGGCCTAAATGTATTTACCTGGGCCTCTGTCTCAGAAACAGTGCCATCAGCGTCTGTGTCAAGCTCTGCATGGGTCTGTAGCTCAGCAACCGCAACACTGAAAAACAGAAACACAGAATTATCAACTGGCCAAACATACCATCCTCTCTACTTCACTCAAACACAGACACACACTCGCCCGACACTCAGCTGCACTTACAAGCCATCTGCATCATCATCCAGCTCAAGAAAAGCCTCTGCCATTTTAGCTTTGTCCTTCTCCGCATGGATGATTGCCTTTTGTTCTGTAATAATGGCAAGAAGACAAGCAACACTGTTCAGAGCTCCATTTAAACCCAGCAACTGATGGAGCACTCATGCAACTGGGTAAGTGATTAACCATGAAGATTGTCTCTACATAGTTCTAGAATATAAACAATGTTTTGTCTGAAAATATACACGGACAGGCAAGTTCATTAAGTATGCCTCCTCCTTTCTACTTCCCTCTTTGTCCATCTTATCAGCTCCACTGACCATACAGGTACACTTTGTAGTTGTACATTTACATACTGTAGCCCCATCTGTTTTTCTGCCTACTATGTTAGCCCTCTTTCTCCCTCTCTTTCAGTGGTGAGGACCCCCACAGGACTACCACAGTGCAGGTATTACTTAGGTAAACGATCATTCTCAGCACTTGCTTTGACCACTGATGAATGACAAGAGGATAACTAACACAAAATATGCAGCAACAGATGAGCTACTGTCTCTGACTTTACATCTACAAGGTGCATCAACAAGGTAGGTTTGTCTAATGGGCCATGGACAGTAAGTGGACACAGTATTTAAAAACTCCAGTAACACTGGCGTGTGCATTACACTCGTACCAGTGCAAAACTAACACGTCACTACCATGTCAGTGTCACTGCAGTGCTGAGAACGGTACACCACCCAAATAATACCTGCTCTTTGGTGGTCCTGTGGGTGTCCAAAAGGGAGCTAACAAATTATCCAATCTTTAATTATAGATCTACAAAGTGTGCCTTTATGGTAAGTGGACCTGATAAAACGGACATTGAGAGTAGATACATGGAGGTGTACTTAGCAAGGTGGCCGGTTGGTGTAAACGCACAACCATAACATACATTGAGTGTTGATGCATTTTCAGCCTGTATGAGAATTCCATGAGCTGAAAGCACAGTTGTAGTATTAACTGTAACCATGTGGCTGCACTTACCTTCCCAGGCCTTCAGATGGCGCTCTTTGGCTTCTTTCTCCGGCTGCTCCGCTGTCTCTTTAACAGTCCTCAACGCCTCCACTTTCTCCTCCAGCTCCTTCTTATTGTTTTGCAGTTCAGTCAGCTTGCTCTGCAAGAGACACACAGCTCATCTGCATCAGAGGTTTCTATTCTTGAAGAAGATGAGAATTATCTAAAATGTCATAACAGACAGATGGGAAGGTGGTACCAGATAGAAACTCTGCAACCACTTTGTCCATTAAAAGGCAAATTTCTTATTCTCAGATTTTTTTCATCCCATCTGTTAAGCAATCAACCTGGGGAGGCAAGACAGAAATATGAATGTTTCACCATTTTCAAAGTAACAGTACTGTCAGGCTTTCATACCTGCTTTTCTTGCTGTCTGTTCTTAGCTTCTTGAATGAGCTGCTGTTTTAGAAGGAATCCCTCTTTGGTGATCTCAGCCATTTTCTGCAGAACCTCCCGCTCCTTTCGGCCCAGTTCCCTGAGAATAAGCACAATGTTAAATAAATATTTCATATGGCATCAGTACATGACCCCACTTGTATAATGCTAACGGTTCTGTAATAGTTTTTACTCATTATTGAATGCATTGTTCATCATTAGTACATCTTTGGTGAAGTGCTTCTTGAAATGACATTTTATCATAAGACACATAAGACATGTTTGGAGAGCTGCTTATACAATGGTGCCATTCGTTTCATTTTCAACTATCCCATCTTAACCCCTGTTTCAACTGAGTCAACAAAACGCTCTAAGACCTGCCAAGAATTAGTCCAAGATTCAGTGATGATAATGCACTAAGCCTACGTTTTCATCTACAGTCTTCATTAGCTTGATAATTCCTATTAAATTACTAAGATTAAGTAGTATTAACAACCTTTCTGGAAAACAATTACATTGAATCTACAACTTACTTGCAAGTGTTTTCACATTTGGCCCCACTGTTGTACTCATCAGTGGTGTCACAGCAATCTTGGAAGGAATAGACATGTTTAATACAGGGTTTATACACAAATTGATGTTGTATCCTAAGAAGTAATAAGAATCAATGGTGTGCTAGAGGAACTTACCACAGATGCCATCATTAATGCGGGAGGACGGAATAAAGGTGGGCCGGAAGCCAGCATTAGTGCAATGGAAGCTTCCGTTGGGACATGCAGCCGTGCCTAAAGGCAAAAGTATTTACAACAAAAACTACTTTCATGTTCTGCGCATAAGGACTGGAAATCTGAAGAGTAAGGGGCTCCGATACATGAACTTTTGAGTTTACATTTCAAAAATATTAAAAAAAATTAAGTCAAGGTATCTTTTCTGTCAGTACCTGGCTCATCTGAACCATCTTTGCAGTCACAATAGTCATCATTCACTCGGTCAAATGGAATTGTGCGGGAGCCATCCAGACAGGTGAATGGCTTGTTTTCCTCATAGAACTGTCGTTCTGTACACATGTGAAAGGAAAGATAAAGGAAATAGGTGACTTGCTCATCCAACATTTCATCTGAAATTAGGGTTATTAATAGAGAGTTTGTCTGCTTTTGCTACTCTTCTGGCAAAGGCCTTATACTAGATGTTGGAACACTGCTGTGAGGATTTGACTGCATTCAGCCACAAGAACATTAGTGAGGTCAGGTGCTGATGATGGATAATTCATTCTGGACCTTAAACCCCACTCCAACTCATCCCAAAGGTATTCCATCCTAAAGGATGGATGCCCATCATTCCAGAGAACACAGTTCCACTGTTCTACAGCTAATGCTTGGAGGCTTTATACCCCTCTAGCTGACGCTTGGCATTCAGTTTGGTGATCCTAAGCTCATGTGCGGCTGCTCTAGAGCATCCCATTCTATTGGTAATGCTTTTATTTGGAGATTACAAGCTGTGTGTTTGTAAAATAGTTGAATTCAGGAATTAGAAGAGATGTTTGGATAATTTGGGATATTATGGTGCATTGTCAACAGTGTGCCAGTACTGGTTAACTTCACTAATGTTGCTAGCCACAAATTTAGGCTGTGGATGTATAGCAAACCATGTACAGTAAACCTTCCGTTAGCATTTTGAATGTTTCAGTTTGCTAAAATTCAGTCCAAAACTTTTAAAATCCAGACAATATACTTCAAGCTCTAGATATATTTTCTATTCTTAGTAATTATTAGATTTGTTTTAATAATCCATCACTGGCAATATCAAGGCAGCTAAATTATTCAGATAAAAAGCTTCAGGTTTGAGCAAGAATAATAAACAATTCGTTCAATAAATCGAGCAGCTCTCCCTAACAGGATGATTGCTAAGGGGACAAGGCATCAATGAAAGGTACTATCTTTTATGAAGGAATTAGATCACTGAAATGTGCTTACTGTAGAAATACTGAACACCTAAGAAAATTAACATGTTAACTGTTATTCAGGATAGCGGTAAGCAATATGATCAAGCAAAATGATCATATTTTATTGCCACGATAAATTACACCACAAATGCTTTTTAAGCAGCACTTACAGAATACTGACCAACTGCATGTTTTATTACAAAGATAACATAATTAGTCCTCTTTAATTAAATTTAGCTCAATGCAGCATGTGAATCATTAAACCAAAATACATAAAAATGACTTTTATATTATTTAACTAACACTTTTACTGGTGCTATTTTGTCTGTTCCAACTTATCAAACCTCAAAAAGAATTAAATGTCATGCTTATTTCATACCATGAAATGTTCTTGAACTGCTGTGATGTTATATTTTGCACACCCCTAATTCAGCAGTAGTATGGCGAGTACAAAACTCACATTTAGAGTCACAGGGGCTTAATCTTTTATTGTTCAGCATTTTACTAAAATGCATGAAGAACTGTGGACATAGTAGGCCTGTATATACTTTCTCTTACTTGAGAGTGGTACTCCTCGAGGCCTTTGGACCTCCACGGCTGCTCCTGAACTGACAGCCAGGCTTATCATGAACAGTAGATGAGTACAAGTCATCATGGAGGCTGAATGCAGACGGTGAGGACACGTGAAGTATCTGCTCTCTGACGACGGTGACCCTGGAGCACAAACATTCAGTTTAGATTTATGGATCTACTTCAACACAAAGTCACTTTAAATTTACAGTTGTATTTAAACACCAAGTGTCTTTAGAAATTGTGTTATATTTGAACACTAAATCACTTGACTCGGCTTTAGCGGCTGTTCAACTTGCTAAGGTAACCTGCACATAATAAGAAGCACTCTTCCACTAAAAAGGGAAAAAAAACGTTTATAACAACACCATTTAGACCTCATAGCCATGCATTCTGACTTTAGCTGGCGAACAGGCCAATTTAATGCTGTGTGTTCATACCATACACTGTCGTTTTAAGCTAACCGAGCTTAGCCTGTGTTAGCTCCATACTTGCTACATTGTATTAGTGTCTGGTATTTTTTCTCAGTTCTCGACTTAAATAACAAGCATGTGAATATTTAACATGTCACTATTCACAACGTTTTTGTTTCGAAAAAGCATACAAATAATCGAATAATTTAACAACATGAACAAAAAATAAGAGCGTGAGTTTATCATTCAGCTACCTTCTTCCTTAGCGAACAGTGAAGCGAGTACTGAACTTGCTGACGCACACTGCGGTGTTCTGGTCTGATTGGTGGATGAGCATGAGACTTTCTGTTGTATTATGGGTAATGTTGTTCTTTGCTGGTGGCCATATTGGTCTTCCTGCTTGTTCAGTGTTTCTATAGGTATTCTTGATAAACGGGCGGATTTTAGCAGTTAATTTTGTGCCAAAAGTTTCAAATAAAATAATAAAATCCACAAGCAAAATATTAAGTATCATAATGTCCAAAATATGTTGTAAATACAAGTAATGAGTTAAATCAAACTTAATTTTTCAAAAAAGATTTCTGATATAAATTTATTACTAATAATTTATTAAATTTATTACACATTTTGCCAGTTTTTGCATTTATTTTTTTCTATTTTCTGATTTTGCTGATACATTTTTTGCTTCTGGAATCGCTCTTTCGCTTCTGAAATTTTTCTTTTGCTTCTGACTTGTGGCACTTCTTATCAGGGGGTGGGTCTTAGAAGAGGGCATTCACCAGCACTGTCTAATGGTCAACTGACATTACTCATATTACAGTTCTAGCCCTGTATTACCTAAATAGTGAATGTGAAATGTGCAGTTAAAAATGCTAGCTAGCCAGCTAGTTGAAGTTGGCTGGCCTTAACATCAACATTAGCTTTTTAAATTCAGAATTAGCTTTTCTTCCTCCAAATGGTAAACTGTAGCTTACATCACTGGTAAGAAATATTGTTATATTAAATATATTAAATTATACTAATAACCTAAAATTAAAACGGGTTCTCAGAAGGGGAATATGTAATGTTGCAGCATGCAGCAGCAAATTTGACCACGCAAATCACAATTGAGACTTGACAATCACTGACTATGAAAAGCTGTTTTAGCTTTTAATTCATTCATCAGTATTTTTTCAGAAATTCGTTTTCATGTAAAATATCATTAGTACTAGTAGAAATATTTTTTTTTCTCATGTAAAATCCATATTCAAATTCATTCTGGATGTCAAAATTCATGCTTACTAGTAGGAATAGGAGTAGAAACATATTTTGCTCACTAGGAAGAATTCATGGCTTTTGCCAAATCATTTTAATTGAAGGAACAAGTCTTACTAGTATGATCATTTTAAGAACTGTATTTTAATGTGTAACAGTTCAGTTTTCATTCAAATAACACATTAAAATGTAATTTATAAAAATTGTTCCTCCTAGTGAGACCTGAAATCTAGCATGCTAAAATATAATTTTAGCATGGAACAAGTTGAATTTTGTTAGATTTTTTAAGTGTGAAGATTAGTCAAGTTTTTTACTACCATTAATAAAGTTTTACTTTTTCAAATTGAATTTCAGACGTGAAGAACCTTTGTACTAAAGCCTAAATGGCTTATCATAGTCGACCGCTGCATTAGCCTTGGCCTGCTTGATATCTGACTTCACACTGTGGAGAAAAAAACACTACTGCAAACACTCTGATGACATTTATTACAAAAATCATCCTTTATTTGTATTTTCAACACACTTTACAGTACTGAACAGTGAAAGAAAAGAAAAATATACTGATATATATATATATATTTGTTTATATATAGCCATTTGCTTATTAAATGCATTTTATTCACAAAATGACACCTCAGTTCTCTCAGAGGACAACCTTTCATAAAAATAATATAATATAAAATAACTTGCACACATTATACACCTTACAGCAATGTAATTTACAAATATTACAATCATTTTCTGGCATTTATTATTTTTTTTTTCTGTATATTATCATAATTTATGAACAAGTAACATATTAATTAAAGCCCAGAGAGTCATTCCATAAAGGATTCTCATCAGAGGAAAGTGACTTCATTACAAATGAACCTTTTTCTGGTTAAGCCACATTCTTCCTCAAATCAATCTGAGTGTCACAGGCTGTTGCTTGAAAAACACTTGAAATATTTAAAATCCCAGGACTGTCAGCCATCGCAATGTGGATTATTAATGCAGACTAGCTTGTCTTTGTCAGGCAACAGGAAGAGAGTGCCGGTATGGTCAAAAGGTTTGGGACCAAGCCATAAGGAGTGCCTCCCCTGTGCAACAATGTTTCTGTATCCCTCGAAAACATGAACCTACACACCATTTAACCTAATTCAGCCACCACACAACCTACAGCAAAATAAAGTGCTGGTACAGACGAGTTTTAGAATTCACCACTGATTAGTCTATTCTCAAATACAATTCAAATATACACTAGTTCAAGATGGTGGGATCTTTACTGTAAACCTGAAGAAAAAAAGAAAAGGTTGGGGGAAAGATGAGGGAGAAGAGAGGCTTCAGGAAGAAAGAGTGTGCAGGGTGCTTTTGCAAATTCAACACTTTAACTACGCTTCATTACAACTAAAAGTGATAAGTTGTCAGTGACAATGATTGATTCCAAGTGATTTCAAATTTACAGTCCAACATTACAATATATACAAAACAAGCAGTGATAAGTCTAATATTTATATTTTCTCGTAATTAGTTCTTTGATATCATGACCACCAACCAGCATGATACAAAAATAAAAACTGTACACAAACTGTTCAAAGAAAACACTTTCCCTTTGATATTCAAAAAAGAATGGCAGCAAGTAATTAATTGAATAATTTCTTAATAAGAAACGATTGCTACAGTATCGTGTTAAAATGGCAAATAGTATTTGTTTGCTTAAGAGCTTACATTATTAATGAAAAGCCACAAACCAAAGCATTTTCTAGGGTAAGATAGGCAAATGCATATGGGAATGGCATCCGTTCTTACAACCAGATCAAGTAACGTTGGGTTACAATTCAACCATCCATCAATTAAAGGCCCAAGTAGGTAACCTTGGGTTACAACTCTAACATCCACCAATTAGACGAACCATCAGGTAACCTTGGGCTACAGCTCATCCACCAGTTAGTGACCAATCAAGAAACCTCAGACTACGGCTCTACCACCAGGTATCCAAGACACACCTCATCTGGTCACATACATTATCTTGCTTATTCACCCACATGTTTGTATTGGTGTGAACTCAAGGTTCTATTGAAACAGGCACAAACTTGAAGCTAAGCTACTGACCAGCAGAAACCAGCTTGTGACCAAATGTATAGAGGATTATTTTTCTCACAAAATACCCACTGCCCTCAACTGCCCTGTCAAGTACTACATTCAGAGACACACACCAGCCAATATTTCATTGTTGGCTAGATTCACTGCAGAACTAAAAGACATCATAAATAAAAGATCCTCTCACTCCTTTGTTGGCATTTGTGAAAAGACAGCTGCGCTCCAATGATCATAATCTGTACCACTCCTTACCATAGTGTGAGATTAAATGGAAGAGTGCAAAGGAGTGTGTTTGACAAGGCACACTCCCTTGGTATTAATGTTTCAGGGAGTGTGCAGATGATGATGCGGTGTGTCTAGATGGGTATCTAGATGTAGTTGCCTAGTATCTAAACAGACATATACAGACATAACACAAATATTCTGGGATCTTTCATGAGCATCTCAGTCAACATAGTGACAAATACGAAAACCCTGCAGTGTTAAGGCAAAAAGGATCAAACTCAATAACGGCTGCATGTGACTCCCTGTGCTCAGTTTGATTGGTCCACACCACTGACTCTCCCTCCTCTCCTCCAGTCACGTCCTTCATACACTTTCCTCATCCAACCTATTAGCTGCCCACCCATTCCTTTGGCAAGACACAATGGAGAATCTTATTGGTTGAGATGGAGCATGTCTGCATCATGTGAGTGGGTGAAAAATGAGACTGTCAGTGTGAGTCTGCACTGCTGCTGAAATGATTCTGTAACTTCCACTGTTTTCACAAGACCGGCTTGAACTGTAATTCATAAGAAGGCAAAACTATAAGTTCCAAAGCATCAGATGGCTTATTCTCAAAAAAGTGACTATCCTCAGTTGCATGAAAGGTGACAGGAGACATCAGCCCATGAGCAACAGCCATGGTGAGTCCCTTAATTCAGAAGTCCCCTAAATACTCAACAAGTGTAGAAACAACCAAGGAAGACTTTACGTAATGAAGGTTTTCATTGAGAAAACATGGATGCTCCCAACATACATACAAACCATGCACGACAGCGAGAGAGAGAGAGAGCGAGATCTGGTAACTAGTGACAATCAAGAAATGAAGACAAAAGCAGACACTCCTGTCCCACGATGCATTGCTTCACAGCAGCTCCAGAGCTGAAGCTGGTGGTTCAGAAAGGCACGTGGCCATCTTGCACTGGTAGCACTCCTGGTAAAGGGAAAAGAGGGGCTGGGACCCATGCTGCAGGTCCCGCCTTGTGCGCTTCCTCCTCCTTCCTTCTCTCTTCGTCTGCATCCATTCTCTCCTCAGCACCATGCTTAGCTCCTGTCTTCCTGCAGCGGGGCCCTTAGGGTATTCTTTCCGACAGAAATGGAAAACAAGTCACTCTGATTGAACTAATCATACGATATCTGAGGATTTCAGTCCCTGTTAAGAATATGTTAAAAAACTGCTCACACTATTGACACGGATACTAGTTGGTACTCCATTTGAGATGGCTTTTTCCAAAGAGATCCCTTCTGAATCCGAGCTCCCCATAAACACATACAGAGACACACATCTGGGTGTGTGCAGAGATATTGTGTGGTACGGTGTGGTAGATTAACCTGCAAGTGTGGTGTGCATGGGTATGCATGTGATCTATGTGTGTGTGTGCACGTGTCTGTATGTGTATACGTTTGTGGAAATTCCAGAGTGCTACACTGTCTGAATGGCCCATTTTAAACTCCCCTAAAATTGTTTTCCTTCACATAACCTCTTACCTTCTTCTGGAAGGGCCCCAGCACCCATTCCAAATCTACAGTTGCTGTGTTACTTCTCTGATAGCAATATTATTTTGTTCCCTTTTTTTTTGAAAAATAAAATTAAATGTCTTATTGAGTTGGTGCACAAGTATTGTTTTGTTCATGGCTTGCCCATCAGATCCGGGGAGTGGACAGGATGGGTAAGGGGTAAGGGACAGAGACAGTTCTCACGGGATATTCTATGTTCCATGCTCCTCTGCGATGAGCTGGACAGTTGCTAAGCCTCACGTATCGTCGGCAGGAGAGGATAATACCTCTTCATCCTCTGCTTCCTCCACAGGACTTCCGTCTGAATGTCTTTCCTCGTCCTCCTCTTCCACCACCGACTGAACCTGCAGTCGCCTCCTCCCCACCCTCTCCACTGCCACCTCCTCTCCACCTCCATCCTCCCCACCAGCCCCAAGCTTTGCCCCTTCCTTCTGGTCTTCTGGCATCTCCTGCACGTCATCTCCGACATGATTGTGGTTTGGTCTCACTACTTGGGCTGGCTCCCCTTCCAGAGTGAGCTCGAACTGGAACTTGTCTATGCAGGAGTCTAGTTCATTGTCGGGTAGTGGAGGAGGGGAGGGGCTCTGGGGGATGGTGCTCTGGTACCAGTCCCTGTTGTCCTCCAGGGTATCCAGGATGTCCTGAGCATCGGGGTGCACCAGGTCACCCCAGGTCTCCCACAGGGGGTGAACAATGTAGTCGATAAAGCCCACCTGCAAGAGAAGGGGAACACAGGTCAGAAGAAACTACCTGTTTTTAGTAAACTTTTAATGTCCAAGTGTGTCTAGCTCTATGGTGCTGTACCTGACTTTTCTCCACAGATGCAGTGTGTTTGTCGCACATTGGGCTGATCTCCATCCCACGCTCACGCTCCTTGTCTCCCTGCCTGAAGAACTCCTCCATGATGCGTTCCGTCCACTGCCTGTACACTGCCAGAGGCTTGGTGGGATTGCTGAGGTCAGCACAGTGCACCATGTTTCGCAGAACCTATGTATACACACATACACAAACACATAACACATATAAGTATGTGAACCTTCCTTCTAACTAGTCAGTTTGGCAATTTCAGCCACAGCCATCGCTAACAGGCGCATACAATCAAGCACACAGCCATGAAATCTCCTCAGGCAAACACTGGCAGAAGAATAGGTCACAGTGAAGCTCAGTGACCTCAGTGACTTTCAATGTGGCATTGTCATAGGCTTACTTTACAACAAGTAAACTTCTCAAATTTCTGCCCTCCTAGAGCTACTCCAGTCAGCTGTATGTACAGTTATTGTGTAGTGAAAATATGCAAGAACAACAACAGCTCAACTGCAAAGCATTTCCAAATTACCTCTGGAACCAACGGCACTTTGTCCAGAGCTTCATGGATCGGGTTTCCTTGGCCAAGCAGCTGAACACAAGCGCAAGATCATCATGTGAAATGCCAAGTGTTGGCTGCAGTGGTGTAAAGCACAACACCATTGGACTCTGGGGTAGTGTTCTCTGGAGTGATGAATCACACTTTACCATCTGGTAGTCTAACAGATGAATCTTGGCTTGGTGGATACCAGAACACTCTCTGAATGCCTGAATGTACACTGTCAGAAAACTACTGAGCAGGTACATTTTTCATTTATCAATGCTACAACAATGGCTTTAAGGTCCAACTGAGTACCTTTTCTATATTTTTTTCTTATGGAAAAGGTACATATTTGTACCTTTTCATAATCTAATATTTTAAAACAGAAAAATAAATCAAGAAAGCTAGAGTCAGGACAAGGTGTGTGGAGTCAATACAACTTTAAAAATATAATTGCAATGGATTATGGTACAAATATGTTCCCTAACTAAAGGTACCACCCTAGTGACAAGAGGGGTACCACTCCAGTGAGAGTGAAATACCTTTTTCTGAGAGTGTATGTAGAGAAGGAATAATTGTCTGGGACTGTTTTTCATAGTTTGGGCCTCTTATTTCCAGTAAAGGGAAACCTTAATGCTGAAGTGCTCAATGATGTTCTAGAGAACTGTGGGCTTCCAAATTACTGACTGTAATTTGGGGAAGGCCCTTTACTGTTTCAGTACGTCCGTGCACCTGTGTACAAGATTTGCTGAGTTTGGTGTAAAAGAATTTGACTGGCATGCACAGAGCCCTGACCTCAAGCCCATCAAACACCTTTAGGATGAACTGGAACACAGACTGTGAGCCAGGCCTTCTCGTCCAACATCCGTGCCTGACCTCGCTAATGATCTTGTGGCTGAATGGAAATCCCTGCAGTCACGTTCCAAAAATATAGTAAAAGACCTTCCCGGAAGACTGGTGGCTCCAACTCCAAAGAGATACAAATGTAGTCTAATTTAAAGGAGATGGTGTGACCTTAAGTTAAAGTATACTTTCTTGATACATTTTACAATGTGTACCATTTACAAAATGTATCATTTTGCTGCATAGAAGCATCAGACTGACAGCAGTTCAGGAATCGCTATCAGAGCAGTGGTATCTGAGGTAGTAGGGGTTAAGTGCCCAAAACTATGATTTTGGTCTACGCAAACATCCAATCTGCAGCCCTTCAGTATTGCAGATTACCCAGTCAGTCCAGGGATTCAACATGGATTCCTATCGGTTGATGGTTCTCTTCTTTTACCACTAGGCTACCTACCACTTCCAAAATTAACTCAGATTCAACTTCAAATTCATGACCCAATATTTAGTATCCTGAAGAAATACCTTTAGAAGCAATATTCACTTAAACTGTCACTGCTGGAAATGTCAGATGCTGGATCATGATGAGGCAAGAAAGTTGACCTAATGTGTTTGCTTTCAAATGAGGTCAATATTGGTCTTGTGTGCACACAGTATGTACAAAGTAAGTCCTGTGAACAACCTTCTAACACGTATATAACACATATTTACTTGGATAAAGCCTGTGAAAGCTCTACCCTCAACAGTGACTCTTGGCCCTCACACAGTTTTTATCATAACTAAACTAAAAAATTTTCATTTCAATGGTCTCACTCTCTTCAGGTCTTAGCAATTTAGTGAACGAAAGGTAACCTAGCAAGTACAGCCTACTGTGATAATTCTGTCACCATCTTTGAATGCGGGTTATCTGGTAGTGAACCTTCTGTCAGATACACAAGATTTTAACTAAACCCAACCCTACATGTATGATATGTAGTCATACATGTAGGGTTAATTAATCCTTGCTTATGCCATTGTGAACTGTTATGTTCAAATGGCATATCAGGCTGGGATTCTTCAAAAGACGGATTTCAATTAAACATGCTCATTAAAATATTAGGAGTACACCCAGGTAGCTTTCTGATTTATTGCAGTGTTGTATTATATTTTTCATCTTTTTTTCATTCAAACTTTGGATTTGCTGGCATTTATATGTCCAGTAAAGCCAAGTATAATTACAATAGTCCTTCTTGGAAAACGTGGATTAGTTTTGGTTTAGAAAAACTCAGTTAATTAGAGAGTATTCTATTTTAAATTCTGCAAGATAAAGAACTTTACAGAGTGGAATAATTGTTAATTGTCTCTTGCAGTGAAAATTCTCAATCTGCAATCTGGTGATGAAACTGCAGTAAAGAAAAGACCAAGTGGGCAAACAATAAGATTTATGGCATTTAAACATACTCGTGTATATAAAAGTATAAAGTAAATGGTCTAACAAAAAAGCTTTAAACTTTAAAGCGAGTTTTCAGAATTTTGGTATAATTCAATCACTGAGATATAAACAAAGTCATTCGGAGTGTTTTGATGTGAAATGGTTTATTGTAGATAACTCACAGGCTTGAACTTAATTACATTTGTGGTGATAGGAACCAGGGATCGCAATGTTAACGGTACAAATATTGCCATTTTATTTACTAACCAAAACCACCAGTGAGCCTACACATGTCACATGAGTTATTACACACTGACCAGGCACTTAACTAAGTATACCTACCTTTTATCAACACTCATTGTCCATTTTAGCAGTTCCATTACCATATAGGTTCAATTTGTAGGTCTACAATTACAGATTGTAGTCCATGTGTTTCTCTGCACACTTTGTTAGCCCCCTTTCACCCTGTTCTTCAATGGCCAGGACCCCACCAGGCCGCCACAGAGCAGGTATTATTTGGGTGGTGGATCAATCTCAGCACTGCAGTGATACTGATGTGGTGACGGCGTGTTAGTGTGTGTTGCGCTGGTGCAGGTGGATCGCACACAGTGCTGTCAGTGCAGTGCTGACAATGATCTACCACCCAAATAATACCTGCTCTGTGGTGGTCCTGTGGAGGTCCTAAAAACATGGTCTTTTGGTTTACTCTTCCTATTAAGCAATGCAATCTCTAAATGTACGCATTTTTAAATGCAACGACATAGATATTTGTCACAAACAAATGTGTATGAATATACTTTAGGCTCCACTCACTTTTTATTGATCTGATTGAAAAAATGCTTTTGATATCAAAGTTGTTAAAGGTTTTAATTCTGTGTGAATTTGGATCTGCACTTCAGACTACATCTGTCAACAGCAGAAATTGGCACAGCCCTGTAGATACTGCAATGCCGTGAGCAGAATTTAGACAAATGCAATATGTGTTACTTTAACCAACAAGAGAGACCTTTGCCTCACAGCCTCTAGGGCACATGGTTAAATAAGTTAAAGATTTTCCTGTAAATTGTAGATGCAGGCTACATGCAATTTGCAGGTACAGTTTCTTGCAAAAGTATTCAATCCCTTGGATTATAGTCTGGATTATAAATGTAGCTTTGATATTTGATGCTGTGTCATATTTTATTTTAAAAGACCGACCCTCAAAATGAATGAATTTTGTGACACAGATTACTAACCAAAAAATGCTGTTTGCTTAAGTATTCAAACCCTGTGCTGTGGAAGCTCCAGGTTTGCACAGATGAAAGATATTGCCCTAAAGAGGCCACAATTGGCTTACACCTGTGAATCATTAAAAAGGTTAACTTTTTCTGGATAAAAGACCCTCTAGATGCAAGTATCATTGGTCAGACTTTGAATCTGAAGGAAAGCTGTGAAGATAAAGACCAAAGTGCATTCTAAGTAAATCTGAGATAAAGTTATAGACATACACAATATAGAAGAAGGGTACAAACTAATATTCAAGCGTTTAGATATCCCAGAGAGCACTGTTGGATCAATTGTGAGGAAACAGAAGCCGCATCGTACCACCCTGGCAATGCCTAGACAAGGCCGTACCTCAAAACTCAGTGTCAGAGCAAAAAGGGGACTTGTCAGGGAAGCCATAGAGAGGCCAACAATCACTTTGAAGGAGCCACAGAGTTCAGTGGCAAAGACTTGAGTGAAGGGGTGCCAAGTGACATATCAAGAGCTTTGCAAACAACTGTCCTGTATGATAGGGTTGCTAGAAAGAAAGCATTACTGAAGAAAAACCACATCAAATCACGTTTGGAGTTTGCCAAAAAACATCAGAATGACTAAGATAAAACATCAGATAAGGTTTTGTGGTCAGATGAGACAAAAATGGAGCTTTCTATGGCACAAAATCTAACACTGCTCATTCCTCAACAACCCCTATCCCAACAGTGAAGAATGAAGGTGACAGCATCATGTTGTGGGGATGCTCTTCCTCAGCAAGGACTGGGCAACTTGCTAAAATTGAAAGATGGATAGATGGTGTATACAGGGAGATACTACATGACTGCTTCAGTCTGATAATAAACTAAAGCTTGGGAGAAACTTCACTTTTCAGCAGGACAATGACCCCAAGCAAGGCCAAAGCAACACAGAGTAGTTGAACAACGAAAAAGGTGAATGTTTGACAGTGGCCATGTCAAAATCCAGATCATGGTACAATTTAGAATCTGTGGCAGTTTTTGAGAACTGTCATGTAACCAACCTGAACAACCTTAAACAAATCTGCCACGAATGGGTGAAAATCACTCTCAAACAGTGTGCCCTCAATGTTTACCTGTATACGGTCTGTGTAGTGATCAAGCAGTAGTACTCCTGAGCTGGTCACTTTCTTGGTCTCCACCATTGTCTTTAGGTCTGCGAGCAAACTCATATGCTTTGACATGTCTGTTGCCAGCACCTTAGAAGCAAACAAGAAGTAACAGACCAGAGGTAAGAGAAAAGACAAGCTATCTTAATATTAATGGATCAAACCACTGTCCATTGGCAAGTGGGCATGGCAAACCGGGTCTCACCATGTCAATGACCAGCTTGCGGAGGCTCTGTCGTTGCCTCTTGGTCAGGTTCTGAAAGATGTCACAGTTCTCCTCATGGAGCAGTTTGAAGCCTACCGCCAAATGGTGGTTCTCCAGAACAGACTCGTCATTGTACATCAGAGCCAGCTCCGAATCTGCGACAGACAGCACACAAAAGTCAGATCAAAGGTCTGGAGCTGCCCCCAGAGCAACTTGTGGCAAATCTATGCACATATTGTAATGGGTATCCCATAAAGACTTACTGGTATTGATGAGGAACTGGTTGGAGACCCCAGGATGGTCCACATCATGGATGGCAGCAGCAAACAATGCGGCCAGTATTTCCAGGTCAGTGAAGACAGCCTGGTGAAGAGACATAATAGAGAAGTAAAAAGTGCGCACAGCATGAGTCATATTGCCAATAAAATAGGATTTGTGTAACTTGTATGAAAAGCTGGAGGTTCAGTTTAACAGCATGAGAACCTCTACTCACATCCAGTGCCGGTGTGGACAGCAGCACATGCGTTGACTGTGTAACATCAGCTGCATGCAGGCTGTTATGGTAAGCCACATTGGCGTGGTAGTGATCCTCTAGCGTCATCACATAGGTAATGAATGTGTCCATAGGGATACGAAATGTCTTGAACAGATCCCTTTCCTTAGAACAGACAAACAATCAAAATGAAGATGTTTTTTGCTGGTTTCCTGCATAAAATAAGACTTGCGTCATGAAGTTCCTGTTCTAGCTCCAATGCCTGGCTGTGCCCCAGTTCTGCTCTGGCACCTCCCTACCTTTATGACTTACACCTTTCATTTGCTGTTTTTGTGTTTCTAAGCTCTGTTTCTTAGTTCCAGTATTTACTGTTTCTCTAGTTTAGCTTACATACCTGGAAGATGGCGAACATTATGCAGCTCAGAGGTCTGTTATTGGAAAACTCAGCCACGCGGAAGATATTAAGGCCCCACTTATTCAAGTCATTTAGCTCCTACAAAAAGATAGCATACAGAAAATGCTAAAGCATAATGCCATTTGATGGCACATCATGGCTCAAAGAAGCAGTGGAAGAGTGTGGGTACCCTAGCCAGTGCATCCTCTTGCTCGGTCTTGATGCCGAAACGTGGCAGGGCGGCACTGGTCAGGCTGGAACTATGCGTCAGCTTCTTCACGCCGCTGATATGGCACATGGGCTTCTCACGCTCCCGCAGTGTTGGAGATGGGATCTCCACTTCGTTCTGCTTGTCTGAGGAACACACAGGAGGAACACAGACCTTCAAATCTCAGAGATTTGAATCTGCAGTGCTGAAGGAGTTCCAAGGCAATGTTTCAAACATGTTCCAGCAGGTGCCATCTTGGCTGCTAGTTGAGATGCTGGAGCTCCATGAAGCCATAAATAGCAGAAGGACTGGGCAAGAAGTAGGGGGACAGTTAAAGCACGCTCACTCACCTAGGAAGGTAGTTGAGATGTACTCAGACACCTGGTTCCCCGAACGGCTCATCTCAGACAGATGAGACAGCTCCCTGTTCAGCATTCTCTTAAACTGGAGGACAGAAGGAGAAAATGGAAGAAAGATGTTTCTATTAATTAAACTATTAATGCTGTTTTTGTCAGAATTTATCAGTGATTTCAAATAGCTGAAAAGGCAATGCTCTTTGTGTGTGTGTGTCTGTGTGTGTGTGTGTGTGTGTGTGTATATAGAATTAACACCAACTAAACCTGTCAATTAGCAGATGAGTTGAACCAGGTACTTTTGGGCAGAAAAATCACAAAACTGTCACTGGACGTAGCCCTCCAGGGTCGTAAGTGAACCCCACTGACGTTTCAATACAATGATCTCCTACATCAGAGGTCACAAATCTTATCCAGTGTGGTAGAAGGTTGCAGTTCCAACCTAGCACTTCAAATAGCTAATCAACTGTTTAGCTATATGGGACCATTTGATTAAACAAAGAGAATCAGGTGTGCTTCTGCTGGATTGGTATGAAAACCTGGTATGGCAGCCTTCTGTGAAAATAATTGGTGACCCCTGTCTTACACTGTTAGAAAGAAAAGTGCGGTCTGGGTAAATTCTAGTCCCCCAAGGAATAAACAGTATAAATGTACCATTAGAGGTACAACAATTTCCTTAAGGTTATCGTTATAAAGGCACACATTTATCTTTGCAGAAGAAATACACATAATTGCACGGCTTTTAAAGTAGAACAATAAATTAAAAATACTGGAGTCAAGACAAGGTATTTGGGGTCAATGCAACACAATATGCTACCGTTATGTTTCCTGACTAAAGGTACTGAAGACATTCCCTTAAGGGGACCACCCCAATGACAGAGTTTGTACCCAAAATGTAGTGTCTTTTTCTGAGAGTGTACAGGAACAACTAAAAATACGTGTTATATATGAAATGTGTAATATATGAAAATGCTATCAACATGTAATCAATCAAACTACTACACCCATTAACATTTTATTAGTTTATGGACAGGCATTATACTGAACCACTGATCTAAAATGTATTTCTTTAATGAATTTCTGTGCCACCACCAAGTTTAAGCATGAAGCAGCACAACTGCCACAAGCAGAAAAGTAACTTAACATAGTCATTTTGGACATTTGGACCTTTGAAGTGAGCAGGGATGTGTTTCATCTCTGCGTCAAATCTGGCAAGCATTAACATGCAAATGCATAAGACACGTAAACCCAAAGCATATGAGTATATTTTAACCTGACATTGCATTAACATCAATTACCAATTGATTAAGCAGAAATGCTGTGTACACTTCTCTGTCAAATGTATATTTTAATGGCTTTCAAGGCATATATGTTCAATGCTGTCTAATAGATGTTCACTTGAATCTGGTCTCATCTATGATATCATAGGGACAAAACAAAAACATCTATTCTTAATTAAACTTTAATTAAATCAAGGCCAGTCGAGCAGAGCTGAGTGGAATGTTTAGATCCTCCTGCCATACAAATCAATGCAATGAGGCAGAGGCGAAGGGAGGTCTTTGTGATATCTAACAGCTCACGCAAATTGGCACTGAAAAGCGCTTATAAAACACAAAATTACTGCCCAGGCTAGGTGAAAGAATGTGAACACAGCAGAAAGGCCTTAACGTGAGCGTACACGCTCGCCTTGAGGTTCGGACGAGACCCTGACTCTGTCCCACCGACTGGTCCTTCACACATTACAATCTCCATGGCAACCTACAGGTTTCCTTAGCAACTGCCTCCTCGCAGTCCCTCCTGCGGCATGATGGGAGCGAGGCGACTGGTTGGGTGACAGTCGGAGAGAGTAGGCAGGTGCGTGTCTCTGACCTCCCTCAAGGTCATCACTCTGTGTATCTCTCTTTCCCTCTCTCTCTCTCTTCCCTGCTCTGTCACTCTCCCTGTCTGCCTCTTAGCTTGCTCACCATCACACTCTTACATTCTTTATTTCTGTCCTCTCTCCCTACATCGTCGCATCACTGCGCAAAAGCTGCTCCATGCCCAGCTTTCTCCCCACTCTCTCTTCTCTTCCTTTCCTTTTTTCTGCCAATCATGTCTTTTAGCTTCGCTCCATCCACAGATCATGACGCCACACCAAATCAGGCTGCAAGCTCTGCTGGAATTAGACATGTCTGATAATGAGACAGGCTCAGAAATAGGTAAAAAGAAAGCAAGCCTGAACCTAAACGTAAAAATCAGACTGATTACACAAACACAGCAGGGCGATGTTAGCCAGACAAAACACTGAGACGAAACCCAATCAGCACTACTGACACACTGACTGCGGACTGCACAGTTTGACCACACAGTCCATGTTTATCATTTATCGAGCATCCCAGAGTTGCTACTGCTGATATACGATCTGCTCTCTTTTGACCACATAAATGTAATCAATGGGATATGAAAGCAATGATCAGCACTCGCATTATGAGACACTTGATCAATGTAGGCTTATGTGTCATAATCCTGTCATGAAACTGCTCAGTCAGGCCCACATTGCAAGCAAGAATTCCTTCACCAAATTCACAGGCCTGTACATACTGTCCCAAAGCTCTGTTTGCATGATGCTGAGTCATAACTACAACACTCGCATTCTGCCAACTGTTTTTAGCATGCATCCTCAAGAGGGCCAGGCTGGTACAAGAGCAAAAGGACCTGAAATATCTGCCCAATTACTAAGAAATTTGTGTTACTAGGAGACCAGGGTACTATCTGCTGCTGCTCAGTGGTACTCAATGAGCTTATGAGGACTGTAAAAATACCTTATGGAGAAAAAAATACTAATAACCAATAACCTTCATCTCCGTCACCTTTCGGTTCAGAATATAATGGAGCAAATATCTGCCTAAAAGTTGAAGACATTGTTTTGCCAAGTTTATCATTCAGATCATCCATACCACCTGATGCCAGCTGTGATTAAGTATAAGAAGAAAAAAGCTTTCACAAAGTTTTTAAGACAAAGCTAGAGGATAGCTAAGGGCAAGCTCAAGGGAGATTGAGTTATAAACATCCAACACAGAGAGTATGTCTTAAGGCTGAGAAATAGCTTCCAGTATCACACAAAAATGAAGCTAAATAGCTGACGCAGTCAACCTGTGTGCATGGACTAGTGCTTCTCTTTGCCCTAAATACAGCACAAGACATGTTCATTCACTGGTGTAATTTGAGTGCATGGAGATTGTTCTAGAGCCAGCAGGAGAATGAGGGAGGGATGAAGAGAAGGGTGGAGAGAGGTATAGGAAGAGTAGGTGTGAAGGGGAGAGATATGAGGTGCCAAAGCCACCAGCCAACAGAGCAGATTTTCTTCATCATTCTCTTACTCCTTGCCTCAAAACTTCCCTGTCCTAGTTCCATCGCAATGCCAGAATCCACAATCACTCAGGACAATATTCCCCTGCCCTTCTTTAGTTCTATCAGCTTCCCAAGTAATGACTCTGGCTGGGAAATACAGTGAAAAAAATGTTACCAATATATTTCTTAGTTTTCAAGTTTAAGTCTGAAAAGAATGTTTAACACTGAAGAAAACAAGAAGCTTATTCTGGTGTAGTGTATAAAAAATAGCTAGGCTAGCCATTTACGAACTCTCTAGTTTGTGCTGCTAAGAACGTATGGCTAGCCCCCTGAATAGTGAGTAAAAGGGGCACATCACCACCTAGTGTTTCATGTAGTTCAAGCCTTTGCCGCTAATACCAAATTAAAGAACAGAACAGCTTAATCATTTTATCAACAGTACCTCAAACTTGTTTATTCAATATTGGATAAATGTTTGATTCCGTTAAGTATTGTTATCGTTTCATTCTCCAGGCTTTCCTCCCACCCCTACCTGGTCCCACCATCCAATAAGCCATGGTTTGGAACAGGTCTCGCAGAACAGGTCCACCAGGGGGGTCCTACGCTCAGTGGCCTGCCCTCCTCCATCCAGCACGCCACCAGCAGCAGTGGCCCCTAGCTCCAGCTCTGCCCCTCCCCTCCCCTGCAGGCTGCTGTAGCTGGTGGAAGTGGGCAGCCGGTAGGTCCCGGGGCCAGATGAGTGACGACGAGGAGAGACAGTCGGCTCCAGGGCCTCCGCCACACCCATCCTGAGTGAGACAGCAGACGGCGCAGGCCGCTGGCACAGGCAGGAGGTACGGTAGTGCAGCGGAGTGGCCGGAGTGGCACGAGGACCCCACCGGCATGCAGGGGCAGTCAGGGCGTGGGCGCTGAGGCCGCAGCCGGACCGGCCAGGCCGCTCCAGAGCGGCGGCGGCTTTGGCCCGGCAAGGGGCGGCAACAGGCTGGTAGGGCTGCAACTAACGATCTTTCTAGAATCAGTTAATCTATGTACTATTTTTCTATAAAGACTTCTCACACTGTTATGACTCCTTCACTTCCTCTTCCTTTGCCGCCGCCATCATTCAAAGTTTTGTCTGGCTGGCTGGCAATTTCTTCTTTTGTGGTGCAACAAAACAACAGAAGCCATATCGCCCCCAGCACTTCCTGTAGGGTATTGCAATTTGTCTGAATGACCACATTTATCATATAAACTCTGTACAGCATTATAGAGCATTTTTCTGTAGTCTACATCATTGATGACTTTGTCAGCTAATTGTTGCAGCCCTAGAGTCCAACCGCGGGTACTTGCTCAGGGCATCTCTACTTCTATCATGCAGACTTCAGGTTCCAGACCAGGCTGTCAGGATGAGCGCAGTGGGCTGTCCTGCAAACGGCTCGCCATGGGCCGCCTGGAACCGCAGGCCAAGGGGCTACATCTTGTCCCGATGGAGGAGGAGCAGGGCTGACCCAAATCCAGCAGGAAGGGAGAGAAGAGGACAGCCAAAGATGGAGAACTCAGGTGAGAGACAGAGGACCGTCTGAAGGGCACAGAGAGAGGAGACAGTGGGGAGGAAGGAGGACAGAGGCAGCGTAGCGAAGGATGTAGAACACAAAGGTGACAGAAACTAGGAGCAAGCAGACGAGACGGAACGAAGGAGCAAGAGTGTGAGATGACGGGGTAAAATCGAAGAAAACAACACAGCCAGATGGATGCTAACAGGGACACAGAGTCCACAGAACACAGAGGAAAATGCAGCAGATGCAAATGGAGGAAAGGAGGATACAGAAAGAGAGCAGGGGGCCTAATCTAAGCACTCCAGTATCCCAGCCAGGCAGAGGTCTGGAAAAACAGCCTGTCTTTCGCACACTCTCTGTGGGTCTGCTGCCCCTCCCCCACCCCGGAGCTCCGAGCCGGGCCCAACGAGCGTTCCCAGTGTGTGTGTGCGGCGATCCCACTCCAGCAAGGAGCCCTGGCTGCAGCCCCCAGCGCGTCCAGCACTGCTGTATCCAGCCCCCAAATGTCTCGAATCCACCCACGGAGGCGTCTGGCTACAGCGATCAGGCGCTGCCTTGCTTCGCCGCCTTGTGCTCCGTCTCCCCGGATGATGTAGACAGCTCTCACAAGCTAATCAGCCTCTTCTGGCGGGAGGCGCGTGCCTGAGCGTGCATGTGTGTGTGAGTGTGTGTTTGTGGTGGGGGGGGGGTGGGTGGGTGGGTTTGCGAGTGCGCGCACACTGTGTGCGCATGTGCTGCAGAGGGCATGTCAGCATGTGGGAAAAAAGGGGAGGTGAATGAGTATGTATGTATGTGTGTTAAGAAAGCAGAAGGAGCTTGTATAGGATGCCAGCCCTATCTCACACACACACACTGTCTTCAGTTTATCAATATGCACCTTCTTTCTTCCTCCCTCACAAACATATGCACACTCCTTATTTCATTATCCTCTTTCAGCTTCAGTACCCAACCTACAACAAGCAAGGTGAAAGTGAAGAACAGGACTAAATGTTACAAAATATCCATCTCCACTCTCGGGGCATTAACCAAAACAGGAAAACATTCCTGTCTCTTTAAGGGAGGAAGGTATTGAAGATCGGAACCGATTTTTCATTGGCCAATAAGAAAACCACATGCGTTGTGGTCTCAGCAAATAGCCAATGGTTAAGCAGGAAGGGCAGAGCCTGCTGCAGTTCGATAGCAACCAAGGTTAGAGCACACACATCAGCATCAGGACCCGAGAGCCACCCCCCCCCCGTACCTCCTCCCCACCCAGAAACCCGCTCCCTGCATCTCTTTTCTCTCTCCATCATCTCTGTATCCCTCCCTCTCTCTCTCTCTCTCTCTCCCCAACTCTCTTCTAAAACCAGAGCAGCGTGTATGACAAGGCTGCCAGGCATGCGCACAAGTGCTATTTTGGCTGCATATAGATAGACTATGAAATATACATTGGAGCAGGGACTATACTTTTTAGATATCACCCTGTCATCACTTCCTCTCGCTGACAAAGATCAACAGGCTTGCAGTCAAAAAAGCAAGCCAAAAAACAGACAGCCACACAGATGCACCAGATGTAACAATCTGTGGTAAAGAGCCTCTAACAGTCAGTGGTCACTGAAAACCATCCACAATATCTGCTTGATCCAAAGGATCTTAGCCCTAAAATACATTCCAAGATCTTGAGGCTTGCAGTGATATCCACAAGGTTCTATTACTAAATGACACACTTGTAGAATTTAAGTCAACAGGAAATATGGAACTACGCTTATGTTGTATCAGAAGCTGCAACAGACAGCATGATGTGTGTCAGAGTGTTTACGTATCTGTATGGAGACTTTGGCTTGGGTCAAACTTGAACTGGCTTCAGTTTCTGCGTTATAGTCTCATTCAAACTTCATCATAATGTAGTTGGACCTAATGAGCAGGAACCTTGCTAATTAAATTATAGAATACCATGGGGATCCAACCACCATTACCGACAACAACCGCCAATGAAAGTAATGCAAGTCTCTCGACTATCCTGAAACCCAGCCAAGAAAGATTAGGTTTATGTCCTCATACATGACGATAACAGGCTGGAACTGTGCCGTGGTCTGGAAAGGGAGTGTGGGAATTGAAGTCAGGTAGTGCTGCAAAGAAGGTGAAGGCTCACTTTGTTGGAGGCCATCTCGCTGACCGAGCGGTGCGTCTGGATGGTCTCCAGCTGGTCTAAACACCAGTCTAGCTCCTCTAGGGTCTCCCGTGCCAGCTGCTGGTATGTTTCCTCTGTACAGGAGGAAAGAGGAGATGTGACTGTGAGCAAAACCTTAACACAACATTATTCAAGTGTTAAAACAATGTTATAGCACAGTTCTCATAATCCTTCCAACTGCAGGGTTTTATTCAGTTATTCATAAGAATTATTATAAACTATTATGAATTATTTTGTAACAATTATGAAACTAACATATGTGAGGAATTGAAGCATGGGCTCACATACAGCTTAAGTTTAAGGGGTTAGAGGTTGCTTTAGTGGATTTGACCTGTGGAAGTTTTTGGTCTATATAATGTGTATAATATGTTGGACAGAACAGCGAAACCTCTGAAATGAAATGACTAGTTTATTTTACATGTTTTATATGACCTTTTAATCAGGCATCTCAAAATATGAAAACAAGTGTCTTGAAGTTTGAAATTTGCCAATGCAGTTGGATTGGATTGAAAACTAAAAGAGAAAATCTAACACTGATCAGTACTCTCAGTCTTGGAAATTTTAGTAATCTGACCCTCTAGGAGGTCTTGTTGAAGGCGTATTTTTAAAGCTTCACATGGAAAGATAAAATGCCTCATGAATAATGGATTCTTTCTAACAAGAATAGATAATCACACTTTCTACCACTGAGAAATAGCAAGAAATGCTGTCTCCTCTATTGATGTTCAGTTGAAGTTATGATATTTATATAAAGAGCCATTAAAAATCAAGCATCAAAGAAGAATTTGTGCCAAAGATATAAACTGCCAGCCGAATATATTCCTGCCATGCTATCTTTATATCTTTCACTTGCCAAACTGCAATTATGAGCTCACTTTATTAATGGTCTTTGAAGTTTGAAATGTTAAAAAGCTATTTCTTTATCTATTGTTTCAGAATTTCCTAGTGCTGTGACATGGGGAATATGACATAATGCTTGTGAAATATCCCATTAGATTTAGTACATCTATAGTTTGTGGAGTCCTGATGCAGCACAACTCAAAAACCTGGGTATAAACAGTGTTGAATCAGTTGTTCAGGGGGATTGACAGTAACCGGATGATTTGAACCAGTAGGGAAAACACTAAACAGTATAGGGCTGTCGATTCCCAGAGTTGGGATTAGGAGTCACTCGCCTACTGTCTATTCATTTATTTTAATTCATGAGAGAGTGGAAGAAGTATTTGAGTTGTATCAAAGTGTGTAAAATTCAAAAATGCATGATTTTACCCATGATAAACCTTTCTTTCTTATTCTAAGCTGAACACAAATTAGCTTCTTCTGACTGAATGATGTAATTTCTCTTGAAAACATAAAGGTAACAAATTACTTAAATCCCTAAGTGTTGCATGAAAATGCATGAGTGACAATGTGGTACACTTTCAGAAAAAAAAGGTATGAAACTGTCACTGGGGCAGTACCCCTTTTGTCACTAAGGTGGTACCCTCAAGGGTACATCTCAGTACCTTTAGTCAGGGAACATAATTGTATCATAATCCAATTATGTTCCCTGAAATTATGTTTTTTGTATTGTTGTATTGACTCAGCACGCCCCGTCTCGTCTCCAGGCTTATTATTTTATTGTTCTATTTTAAAACATTAGGTCATAAAAAGGTACAAAAACGTACTTTTTCACTGGGAAAAACTTATTTAAGGTACACAATTGGACCTTAAAACCACTGTTGTATCTTTGAGTGTACATTTACATTGTTTGTACCTTGATGAATGAAACATGTACCTGCACAGTACCTTTATTATTAACTGTATAACATGAATAGCAAATTATTAACTTCCCCATCAAGTATTAAAGACTAATAAATCAACATCATAGCACCCCTGCTGAAAAAAGACCATTAGAATCATGAGGATTAAAACCTTATGGTTTTGCTTCCTAATGAGAATTGGTCTACTGACCCTCAAAAAAAAAAAAATAAATGCATTTAAAATCAGTCAGAGGTCACCTAACCATTACACTGTTATATAAAGGTAAAATGAAAAACCTGAAGACGAGACGGGGTGTGTGGGGTCAATACAACTTAGAAAATATGCTTTTCAATAGATTATGATACAATTATGTTCCCTGACTAAAGGTACTCAGATGTACTCTTGAGGGTGCCACCCCAGTGACAAGAGGGCTCCTTGTTTTCTTCCTGCATCAGTGACAGTTTCATACATTTTTTTCAGAGAGTGTAGGATCCTTTACATTGTGATAACAATCCATCAACAAAAGTCAAAACACAGTACAGAACCACTATTAACCAACAGAAACATTTAATGGTTCCTATGATTTTTCTCCTTCAGCTTGGGTAGAAAAGACCCCAGCTTGAGTGAATGTTAGCCAACTAGCTAGCAAGCTACTTACGTTAGCTTGTTAGCTAAAGTGTTGGTGTGGTAGCTCACAATAACATTAGGTAGATAAATAAAATAAGGTAGAGTTGTGGTTAGTTATTTCCCCAGCTACATTAACTAGTGTTCATTTAAACTAAAATGGTTAAGAATAAAGTATTCCAAACCAGGTTAGCAGGTTTACACATACAATAAGCATTGTATTTAGTATCCAACTTGATGTAATTATGTAAGTTACCTACAGCACATCACCTCTCTGAAACAATTTGTTTGCGCTAAGAAACTTTTACCAAATGTTAATATGAGTTACCTCACAACACTTTAGCTAGCTAGCTAACTTGGGCAGCTTGTTGTCCAGGTGGTTAAGGCCCACCTATCCTGGGGCTTTTTTCATGAAAGCAGAGGCTTTGCCAAGCCTTTAGCCTGGACTGTAAGGCTGCAGGTAGATGTCACCCTAAGTTGTACATGTGGGGTTTTGCTTAGAGACTGATATTGTATACAGTTATCACATTCATCTTCTCAGAGAAAGAGCGCTGATCAATTGAAGGTGTGATTACATGAATAGAAGGAACTAATGTTAATATAAAACACTTACTTTTAGATGTTTACCACAGAATGGGGTCATGCCAATGTTCCTTAAGTTCTATGTTCCCCAGGCCCTTTATTTTTTAATTGCAATTTCTAGGAAACAGCCCTAAGTTTCCAGGGTTCTATGTTCCCTCAATGAAATTTTCATGGGAAATGCATTTATATTCCCATTACATATGTTTCCTCATTACATTTCCTCAACATGAAAGTAAGAGTAATGTCCATACCTCTGGTATATTTCTAAATAGATCTTCTGATGCTATATGTTCAGTAAATAGAATCTGACTTTGTGTTTATGTACATGCTGCTTGCAATTAGATTCCCTTACTAAAACACACTCTGATCGAACACTTCAGTGAACAAGAATTGTACTAACAATGGAATCTTTGGGCATATCCTCAATGATATCATCTAATCTTCATTTCATTACTGTTTTTAACATGCCTTTTTCAACTTGCCCTCATCATTTCCCCTGATACCAACTGAAGTTTGTTGCTTTATTCCACTAACTTGCTAGTGAGCAAAGCCAAGTGTCCACAAACAGCAACAACAATTAAAGAAGGGCAATGCACCACACTTAAACCCGATAAAAAATTATTCAAAACGTTAATGTATTCTACACTCCAACTTCTCAAAAAATAGTTTGTAATACAAAGTCTGCTGAACTAGATAATAAGCTCACTGAGTCTAGCCTTCTATGGCATTGCTCCAAAGAACCCTTTTTGATGCCTTTACTTTTCATAACGTATTCAAAAGTTGGGGTCTTCCCCAATAAGAGTCTAATGGGAGTTTGTTGTTAATCTGATGCTCTTTACAACACACAGGTGTATTAAAGAAACTAATATGAGGCCAGGCTTAAACAGGGCTAAGTCATTTTGAGCCTAAAAGAAAAGCCCTGAAACACTTCCTTCCTAATGTCTTTCAGCGACTGAATTGTCTAGTAGTACAACATCAAGACGAGGGGCTCTCGATGACCCATCCAAAAGACACCATCAGTCATATTTTCAGGTGTTTTGAACACAAATAATCAAACGTTATAGTTTTGAAGTATTGTGTATTTTAATGTACATATAGGTGCCAAAAAGGGTTCTTTGCGTGACGCCATAGTAGGACCACTTTCGGTTCCCTCTGTTAGAGAGCCATTTTTGTAAACTAGACGGAAGTGTGAGGGACCTAGGAAGAAGCTTTAAAAATACTTTGCATGATGTGAAGCTTCTTTAAACCTTTGAAAAGTTCTTCATAATCACAAATCACTTTTTTAAACATGGAATTTTAGGGCAGTGGTTCTTAAAATAGTCTTCAGGGCCCCCCAGATGATACACATTTTTGCTCTATCCACATGTGAGTTAGGTTGGAACAAAAATGTGGACCATCTCGGGGGCCCGGAGAACTGGTTTGAGAACCACTGCTTTAGGGAACCTGAAGTGGTTCTTCTGTAGCATCGCTCAGAGAACCTTTTGTGGTTTAAGAGTGTATTTTATTATTCTTATAAACAACTTTGCCTGACATTTGCAGATATGGAAAGATATGGGTCCAGGCTGCAATGACTTCTGGGCACCTCGGTGGTCGCAATGTCTAACCTAAGATAACGCAAACTTAACGCAAACACAGCCATTTTATCTATTATCCAAAATGACCAGTCAACATATAAATGTGTCTTCTTAGTTTCGATATATAACGTAAATGATGGTAAAGTAGTGGTAAATCTGAAAAAAAAGTTTTATTGGTACTATTTTGCCTTACAATAACCTGCATGTACCTTTCTGCCATGTATGGATCAAAAATAATATGATAATGTAGATGAGTTATGATCATAAAACAGTGTCTCAGACATCAGAGAACATATTTGCATTTCATGTAATCACTTCCAGTGATGTAGCTTTTCAAGGCCTCATATGCTTAAGATGTCTGGGTTCCTGTCACCACCACTGTGAACTATTCTGGCTTGGTAAGTTTCTCTAGAACAGAGTATCAAACCACTCTGAATGACTCTGCTTACACCTTGACCCTTTAATTATGCAAACAAATGAGAAAAATCTGTGGAATTAATCTTTAAGATAGGGATTTCCCCAAAGGGAAAATGATGAGGGCAGGTTAGCATGAGGATGTTAAAAGCAGTATTTAAATGGAGAATGTACAGTTGCCTCCTTCATGACATTTATCGGTGACCTCCAACCCAAACAGGCACACACTTTTGGACAAATGTATTCTACAATCATTGTGGCAAATGGGGTACCCTTGAAAAAAAGACTCCCAGTGTCGTTGACACCAAACGATTTGTATTTAATTCTCATCATAGGGGCTAGCCATTGGGAGCTGTTCTTGGCCTGATTAAAGAGTCTGGTAGGCCTCCAGCCCCTGGCGCCCATATGGTTCCACCGCGTCCGGTGATATAATGCGTTTTGTACTGGCAGCAGTGCCTACAACAGGAAGCGTGGTGCAAGTAAATGTGAGAGACAGTGTGTGGGAAGAGCGCTAGTGAGTGTGGGAGAGAGAAAGAGAGAGAGAGAGAGAGAGAGAGAGAAAGGGAGAGAGAGAGAGAGAGAGAGAGAGAGAAAGGGAGAGAGAGAGAGAGAGAGAGAGAGAAAGAGGGAGAGAGATGCTCACCAGTGACTAAGTTTTATTACAGTAAACATACCAGAGAGCGTTGCTGGGGGAACGGTGGGTTGGCTTGTCACTGGCGACCTCCTGTGGACAAAAAGAGAAGCACAGTCAACGGAAGCACTGGAAGGCACCCTCTGCTGGCATCTTCATCTCAGTGGGAGGAGGAGGGCTACATTTGTTGTAAGCCAAGGAATGGTTCAGCCAATGCACGCTCACAGAGAACATGTCTCTTTCATCTGATATTAACGTAATTTATTTTTTATAAAGACACTACCATCGTCTTATCCGTGTAGCAGCTGTATGATTCATTCTCAGATTTATAGCAAGGCAGCAAAAATATACAAAGTTCTTTACTGGATAAAAACGAAAATCCTACTGGGGGAATAAAGAAGTCATGGTAACTAGCACAACTCATAGCAATTATGCGTTCTATGAGTCAACACTGATGTATTTTTTGCAGTAGACGAAAGCAAATGAGGGGAGAGTAAAATGATACTGAAAATTCAAAGTGGATGTCTCCCTGCTCGACTTAATCTTCCTTGACAAAATATCTCGGAATGGCCTACTTTCCATAAAACAAAAGAAATGCAGGCCTGCCTTTATGAATAAGACACGTTTCTGCAAAACTCTCAGCATATCATAAGGGTACAAAATGTGCCCTTATGAAAGATGCATTAAATGAGATGCAAAAGCTGTGCTCCCTGCTTGTGTAGAGGACCTATTCTACATCAGTGCCTCAGCAGCAGTTTGGATCTGGCAAATGGGAGAGTGATACTGACTTGTTGGTGGGAGTCGTGACATTAGCGAGAATGGTGAAGTTGCTTCTGACAGTTCGGAGACTGGCCAACACCTAGAGGAGAGGAGAAGTGAGGGAGGTTAAGAAGCCAGAAAGAGTGAGACATCAACTTTAGCGGTCTTTAGCAGAATTCATTATGCAGTTCAATGCAGATGGTGCTTACCTGAGCAAAAGGGGTGACTATGAGATCCTCCGCATGACTGAAGAGCATGAGAGAGAGAGAGAGAGAGAGAGAGAGAGAGAGCGAGTCAGAATAATGCTGAAGAAAGAACTGCTCCATAACAACACAGAGAAAACCTGTTATCCTGTGTGCTTTGGAAACAATTACACAGTGCTTCAACTTCATCCCACTGCAAGCAAGAGAAGAAAGCCATCTGTGCTTGAAATAAAAAGACTTAGTGCCACATCAAAACATGCCCTTTTTATCACCATAATCCAGAGGCAGCAGTGGCCACAGTCACTGTGCAGGGAGGGAGGGGGCGCCTCTGGAGAAGCGACAGGATTGAAGTTTAAAGGTGTAACGAGAGATAGAAGTGATGTGCACATTGCAAGTATGTACATTTTACCTGGAAAAAACTTATTTAAGGTACACAGTTGGACTAAAACCACTGCTGTACAGAGAGTACATTTACATTGTTTTTACCTTGATGAACAAAAAATGTACCTGTACAGTACCTCAGTAGACCAATCATAGCGTGGCTTTATTTTTAAATGGCATAGCTGATTTAGAGTTTGGATGGGGATTTTTTCCATTTATTAAACTGATAACAGAAAAGAAGATGTGTGGGATTCAGATTAACAGTGTGGAAGACTGCATTACTACACTGAACTTATCAGAAAAGCACACAGAACAGGTGAATCTGCATGAAGGTACGTGGCTATCTTTGCTAACTGCAGTATTGTGAAACTGTACATCCGCCTACTCCTGAATATCCAGATCCCTAATGCATATAAACATCTTTGCCTTACCTCTTCCTCTTTTATTTTTGTGTTCTCTTCATGGTGTTTAATGAAGCTGTTCTTTTTCTGACTGTGATCTGTGTACTTTATCCTTTATCTTTATCCTTTAGGCTCTATTAGGCTGCTGAATGTAGCCTTCAAATGCATACCGGACATAATGGAGGTACTGATCCAAAAATTACTGAGAATTTAACAGGCTATACCGTCGACCTTTGTAAACTCCATAGCTAAAATAGTGCACTTAGTTGCTGTGCGGCTACAATTTTGGGTCAAAGTCAAGCCAAATGGCTGTAACGCTGCATTGCTTGTGCAGGTCAGGGCTGTGTACCAGTGCTATTTGTGTCGTCTCTTTTACTTTTGTGTTGAGTCTGATTTGACTGATAAAGAGCTGTGTGATGACCTTGACTATAGGTCCTCACCGGCATGCATCAGTAACAGAAGCAGTACCGAGTCTTTCTGAAGTATTTTAATGTACATTGTTTCTGTTTAATACCATTTGTAATAAACAGAAAAGTCTGCCTATCTATCAACATCCGTCATGCTTGAAAGCAGGTACTTTCTACTTGTAAAAGGAAATGACGTTTTTAATTCCAAAGAACGTCACAGACCATTTTAAGAATTTTTTCCTTTTTTATGATACACAATGTTAGGATGTTAGTGGGCTGTACACATACAATAAATATGAATGCTATATTATAATTAACACCACCTTTATTAGAGAAATAAAAATGTGCTTTCCATTATACATCAGCTGTTATTCTTTTCAAAAACTTGTTATATCCAAAACTATTAATGGATATACAATTTTGTGGAATTAAACTTTTTAAATATAAGTAAATATCTTCTAACCTAGAATTAGTCTAGACTTATTTTACAAAGGCTTTCTATACTTTCAGTCACCACTGGGTATCACACAGTATTATCTTAGGAATATGTTAAACCTCACATATGTTAACCCCTTGTTGTGAGGCTGGCCCTCACCAGTGCTCAAACCTTTCAGGTGTTTAAACTACCTTTTCAGCCAAAGTAATTTTTTTAGCAGTAGTAAAAGTCAACTCATGTGGTTTGCCCCTATGTTTTTACACAGATTTGGAGGTATACCAATATGTATAAGCCTGGAAATCTAGTCTAATGTCTAGTCTTCACAAAATATGGCCAATAAACTTCTGTCGCTCACTTTGTTTACCACTTTATGTTTTGTTTTATCACTAGCCATATAAGTAATGTTATCAGACCGTGGGTGGTGGAGTAGGAGTGCAGGTATTCTGATTTGTGTGGAATTCTTTTGTCAAACGCAGGCTGTACAGGGATAAACAAACATCGGCTTACATGAAAAACGGGCCATCAGAGCATAATTTCGCAGAACTTAATAATGTGGTGTGCTTTAATATTCTGCTTGTCATTACAGGGATGACAGTTCAGTTCATGTGTCTCTCATGAACTAAAGAAAATATTAAAATTGCCACGTCTGAAAAAATGCATTAGCAAAGATCTATTTGTCTCTTGATCTCACCTTGCAGATGATTCTACATCTATTCTATTGACTTGATTTACTGTGTTTGTATGGGTATTTAACTGTGTGAGAGAGACTGTCTAGCTGCTTTACTGTCAAATATAGTAAAAATAAATTCTGATACTGTATGAAGTTTAAATATTTTATGGGAATATATCACAGTAAAGAATGTATAAAGCTTGGAGGCTGCAAATATAAAGGTTACTATCTGTAGATGTGGAAAAGTAACATTGTAAAATCATTATTTCGGCAAAACTTTTCATACCAAGTAGGACATTTTGATGAAGACGTTACAACGTGTATCTAATGTATTAGTAAATAACTGTTTTTTGTTAACAAAAGGTTTGCACATATTTCTCCTTATTTGACTGAAAACTAAGAGTGGAAATCAGACATTACTCAGAAAATTCAAAAGAAGTTTACAAACTTTTGACGGAAAGTGTTCTTAAAGTTGAAGAGTAATTCTGATCTTTTTGACAGAAAGGTGAAAGGGAGGTGAGCAGGGAGTGCTGTGTGTTGGTTGTGTGGTGGTGTGGAGGAGGCTGTTTACCCCTCACTGTTGACAGAGGAGTTGCGGGACATGGTCTTGGGGGACATGTCGTAGTCGGAGTCGGAGCGGTAGAGGAACGACTCGCGCCGGCCGCTCTGAGGGAAGGAGGGATGCAGCACCAGCCCAGGACTCGCCTGCGAATCCATCGGACTGCGGCCAGGAGACGGCCCATTCTCTCCATCAAAACTAGAGAGAGAGTGAGAGAGAGAGAAAGAGAGAAATTAAGAAAGGAGCAAAAGAAGGTAAGAGAGTGAAGGAGGAATGGAAGGTGAGAGAGCGAGAGGGAGAGGCAGAGGGAGTGAGAAAAAGAGAAGGGCACAGAGAGAAATAGTGAGAGGGTGGGATGGAAAAAATGCAAAAAGAAGAGAGGAAAGAAAAGAGAAAAGGAGATACAGGTGGGGGACAAAAGAAAGAAGGGAGAGTGAAGAAGTGATAAGCGATGAGGAAAGTAAGAGATACAGGTACTGAGCGAATGAAAGGAAGAAAAAGAGAGAGAATGAAAGAGTGAGGGAGGGACGGAAGGTGGGAAAGTGGGATACATTAGGAAGAAAATGAAGTGAGAAACAGAGAATGAGAGAGTGAAGGAGAGATGGAAAGTAAGAGAGGAAGAGAGAGGGGCAGAAGAAAGAAAGAGAAAAAGACAAGAGATTGGAGAAAAGAGAAGAAGAGACACGACAGTGTGAGAAGGAGAGAGGACAGAGGAAGTGAGAAAGGAGAAAAAGAAAGGAAGTGCGAGAACGAGTGGGAAGGAGGAATGGGAGAAAAGTAAGAAGAAGAAAGGGACAGAAAAAGATAAATAAACAAAATGAGAAAAAGAGGACATAAGAGAATGAGGGTGTGTGTAAAGGGAGAGAGAGATAGAGAGAGAGAGAGAGAGAGAGAGAGACAGAGAGAGAAATGAAAGGAAATCAAGAGAAAGAGGGACAGAGAGGAAGAGAGAACAAAACAAAGATTGAGAGAGGAATGGAAGGTGAAAAAATAAGAGAGATACAGGTAGAGAGAAAACAAATAGAAAGGTAAAAAAACAGTTGGGGGCAAAAATAATGGTGTAAATGGATAATGGAGATGGTGTAAAAAAGAGAGAGGGGCATAGAAGAAGAGAGGAAGAGGGTGGTAAAGGAGACAACAGAAAGATAGGAAGAGAGATATAAACACTGTTTATCATTTAGATCAAGCGTGTGGACTCGCGTTTGCCAGAGACAGCATTAGCTTCCCGTCTTGGTCCAGAACAGGACAAACAGAGTCGTGAGCTCAGAGAGTCGTGATTGGCTCCCAGACACACACACACACACACACACACACACACACACACACACACACACACTCAGAGCCTGTAAAAGAGCTGTGACAGACCCCCCCTCCACTACCACCACCACCCAGTCCCTTCATTAGCATAACCCTCAGTCTAATCAGAGAAGAATCTTCTTCCCCGCTTCACATTGTTTGGGATAATAACTGGGACATGTGGCTATTAGCTTGACCGTAAACAACAGCAACGTTTGCAGGGGTTACGTGATCGCGCTGTGCCATGGGTGGAAAAACACTGGGCACAAATATGAGCCGCTCGATTGCTGCTTCCAAAGTATATTTGTACAGTCATGCTACAGTGCTGATGTGAACAGGAGAGCTGAAGGGGATTGAAGGGCACTGGTGATAGCAGAGGTGTTTATGGCCTACCAATCCGATCCCATCCAGTTCCACAAGCCAGCAATCACACATTCACATAAGAGCAAGTGAGGGAGGCCCATATCACGGAAAACCAAAAGGCCTATGTCATGGAAAAACAAATTTCCCTGGCTTTTTTTGGGAGGGTGGAAAGTGGTTAGTTAATGGCCAATTCCCACCAACTAGACAGATCTCCCTATTTCATACCATGCTACCAAACTGTGAGGGTGAGCATCACTCAGGGGCATTTTCCTCCCTTTTTTGAAGAAATGATTTAGCAAAAAAATCTAATGTACATAATTTTCCACCAACCCCAGATGCAAACGATCAGCCAAGACATGTTTGGTGTTCAAATTTTGCTTCTTTAGTTTCAGACTTGAGCTATGAGGCTAAAATTGCTAACACTAGATGTCTATAGCCACCTAAATCTTGTCTGTAAATACATCCTCAAACTTCTCTCAGCTTGCTCGAACCACATCTAAATCTTTATTAAGGTTATGCAGAATTGTAGATGTGATTTAGGGTACAGTACGAGTTACGGTGAGCGTTGGTGGCATAGCTCTTACCTCAGTTAATCATGGAACATGGTAACTTTTTACACTATAGAAGACATAGCTTAGCTGAAGACTGTCTGTTAACTGTACCTTTTTGTTTATCATCGTCCTCACATGACAAGTCATTAGTCGGCTGAGTAATTCATGCTTTCTATTGTAATGTTAGAAGACAATTAACTTCCTTTTGCATTCAACCTTAAAATCCTTTTGCATTCAGCCCAAATTTCATCTAGCCCTTCAAAAAATATTCCCACCTTCAAGATACATTAGAAGGCAATTTTCCTAGTGCTCAAATCACCAAATATTGTTCTAGAGACTAGTGTGTCACTATTGAAAGAGGTGAGTAGGCACGCTTACAACAGATATATCAATGACTACATTTTAAACTCGGGTCAGAATATTTCTTAAAATGATCTTCTATGATCTATTGGTTATCAGCATGGCGCCACATCCAAGAATGGAAAACAAGTGTTAGTGCAGCATACTGTTTCTAGAAGCAGAGAAAGCATTGAGGGCATGTAGGAAAGCGAGCTGGGAGGCTTAGCTACCTGTAGCTGTGACTGTGGGAGCGCCAGTGTTCCGTGATGCTGCGGTTGAGGCGCATACGTCTGAAAAAGCAGCTGCCTGAGAGCCGGCGGCCGGGGTCAGGGGTGTCCGGGCTCAAGGGTGAGGAGAGGGAGGAGAAGGGCGCAGGAGGGGAAGGGGGCCCGCTGCACCCCTCCCACAGCTTCAAATCATGCTCTGAACTCCTCTGAGTCATCACTGGGAATTCTGGGTATACACTGCAACACCCGAAACCTCAAACGCACACACGCATGTTAAAAAAAAGAGAAGTAAAAAAAACCTACACTTGAGCACTCAGCGTCAGAACTCGACGCCTGCTGAGATTTCACTCTCTCTCTCCCTCTCTCTTTTTCTGTCTCTGTCAGTCAGACTTCCTCCCCCTCACTCTTTTCTCTCTCTAAGTCTAATACCCCCGTTCCTGCATCAATAAAAAAGGAATGGCGGCAAATGCGGCATCCAAAGCCCAGACGCTTGCTCCAAGCTAGCCTGACTGTGTCCTGTGAGCGCTAGCACTGAATCTGGGCTGCAGCACTACCCTGCTTGCTTGTTTATGCTTGGCCTGTTTACGAAAAGAGGCCGGCCAGACTGAGGCTCCATCCTCTGACCCCGATGCTGCTGGTCTCTATCTGGGGAATTTGGACGATCCAAGCTCCCACTGTAATGTTCCCTAATATATCCGACTTGCTCACCCTTCAGTGCCTGAGCTGCCCCACACGGCCTCCTTAGAACTTTAAGCCCTTAAACTCTAGGCTTAATAGTCGGTTATTAACTTAAACTGCACAGTTGTTATTGTTAAGGTCAGGGTTCGTGCACTTTTTAAACAATGGAATTTCATGACTTTTCCATGTCTTTTCCATGACCTTCCCATGACATAAAATGAAATTCCCATGCCAGACAATTAGCATGGTGCTGGGCGGTGTATTATACTGGTATACTGTGATACTAACATACCATTTCCTGTTTTGGTGATATTTTTAGCAATATGTTCGATAGATTTGATAGATTTGATAGGACAATTTAATTTTGTTCACTTTTACTCATGGTATGCAGTCCTTGATGGTTTACATTTAACTAATTTGCTTAAAATCCATAGAAATAAGGAAACTCAGGAAGCATGAGCTCATCACCTTTATTAATGTTAAACTTATATATCACCTGGTAGGGTGATAGTGTGATACATTTGAAAATACCATTATGTTGAATTTTATCAATAACCTCCCAGCACTAATTTTACATAGAGACAGCTGTTCTGAGAGAAAAAAGACCTACATTATGTAAATATTTATTTAATACTTAAATATTAGTTAGCAAATCAAAATGCAGTTTAAATTGAACAACTGAGTGCAATTGAAATCTGACCCATGTACAGATATCTGCACAAGTTTTAACACTCTGACCTCAGAGAACGGACCTGTCATTCTACTCACTACATTTATGTTTTACAATTTCAGAGCCTATATATTTTGTTTTGACTTCTCCAGCATCCCACATTCTCATGTGCAGACACATCCATCATTTTCATTTGTAAAGAGTGGTTTAGGGTCTTGTCATAACAAATAAAATTGTGGACATTGTTCTCCATTTCATTGCGTTTAGCTCAATATCAAATAGTTATCAAATAGAAATCAAGAGTTAACAATAACAAATACATTTATTTAGACATATTCAGTTATCTAACTATTCAGTTTGGAAATAGTTTTACATTGTGTGGGGAGGTAACATATTTATTAGGCTACCGAAGTTTCTCTGTGATTTTAGCAGCACCCAAATCCGCAATATCAGTGACTTCTGACACAATAAAGAGTGTATACAATCAAATCAATGAGAGTACCTCGGCAGTTAGCTTATAATTTTTTAATGTAGCTGCAGCATGTGATGTTTGTTTAGCCACTGCGGTGCAGATAGAGCGCTGTGAAGGTTTACAGAGTGTCGCCCAAGACTCTGCAGAGGTTGTGCAGATACAGTAGTCTAGGTGCTTTTTACAATCTGGACTCTTCAGTGCTTCAAATGTGATAAGATGATGAAAGGCATGAGGGAAAAGTCCATGATTTTTCCAGCACTTATTATTTTCCATGACTTCTCCAGACCTGGAAAACCACATTTCTATATTACAGGATATACTGGAGTCTTACAGTATTTTATGACTGTACCAAATCTGTAAGGTGTAGCAATGGAGAGTGGAATGGACGTCTATGAGAAATGTCAGGGACTCCCAGGTGGTCCAGATTTTTGCTCCAACCTAACTCACAACACATAATGTGGACAGTCTGGGGTTCCATGAGGATCCATTTGAGAACCACTGGCCTCTTTTCCATTTTTGAGCCAAATGGTTCTCAGGGCCATACTGTGTTGGTCCGGATTTGTGAGACCAGTCACGGTTTCTTTTTCCATCTGTTGAACTGCTAAATCAGAAACAGGAAATACTCAAGAAAATTACACAATTGAGTGGCTAACTGCTAACAGTCCAATAGCTATGCACACACCACCCACTACAACTCCAACTCCTTGCTCCTGCCATGCTCTCATCTGCTCTATCCTCTAAAAGGGTGGTATATGAGCATCTGTAACTGAAACAGCCTGTAGTGCAGTGGGTTTCATTTGTAGCCGGATAATTACACTAGCATTAGCGTCGCTCGGCAGGGTACAGTTCAAAGCACCACAGAACAATTAAATATCTTTGTGTCACTTCAACACCATTCACGCAAATTTGTGCTCTCAGATACGAGTCTTTATCCTCCAAACAGGGTTTTTAATCACCGGTTCACCAGAACTGAGCCTGTACTGTGGTGAGAGCCACCGTAGACTCATGTTAGCTTAGCCTAGCAGACTACAGACTACAAAACAGGTCGCATTTCAGCTTTCTGTCTATCCTTTGCAGTCTACTTTGCCCTTTGTCAACTTTGTTCTTGTTGTTGTAAGTTTTATCATCTATACTTGTGATAACAGAGCACCAGTTAGTCAAATCAAACCTGCACTGGGGTGTCTAGATCTCTTTAGCTATGCTAAGTTAACTAGGGGAGAGGAGCCGACTAGCATTAGCTGAGCAAGGAGGCTTCAGCTCCAGACACCAGAAAACAGGTTTAATTTCTCTAATCTCTGACATCAGCTGTTCAATTTCACATTCAAGTCAAAAATAGCATCTAAATTTGTTTGGTTCCAAGTTTGAAAGAATGCAGCAGGATGCTGTGGCACAATGCCGACATAAACGTAGAGTCAATCAGCGAATAGCCACATTGTTACATCATCCCACCGAACGGTTTTGTGGCCCAGAGTATGATTAGCTAACCATGCTAACATCATGAGTCTTCCATGTCGGACCGTGTCTGTGTGGAAAAGCCATTGGAACAGTTACAGTCCGTGCTCAGAATCATTCAGCTCTGCAGTGGAAAAGAGGTGACTGTGTCAAGGGGTTAAGTATAAAACTTATTCAGTAACTACTGTGAAACTAATACATAAAGTATGTAGGTATGAGAGGAAGGAATGGAAGTCTGGACTGGCCTATGGGTCCTTAAGGCTTTAGATTGTTAATTGGGCCTAAAAATTTTTATCTGAATCCGAATACAGTCCGAGAAGACCCTGCATCAGTCTGACCTGACACAAAGCACCAAGTTTTGAATCTGAACCCAACTGTAGCCTGACACAATTTTGTCTGGGGACTGAAAAAACTCAACAATAACAGCTGTCATCAGACTATTAGTAAATAAAATCAAATTCAACTTTGTGCAGGGGTAACTGTAGGCCAAAATCTGTTAAAAATGGGAAACAGGCTATGAGAAACCCTAATGAAATGAAATCTAAACCAAAATCAAACCCAGAAATCTTTGAGCAGCGTCTGAACCTGACCATTTCTGAAAAACAATATTTCAAGCTCTACCTTCAAGGCGCCCACTTCCTCCTCCCCTTCTTTCTCTCCTCTGCTTTCTACCTTAATGCTTTCTACATACAGCCACTCTTTTCTGCTCTCTCTCTCTCTCCCTTTCCATTGCTTTCATTCTTCTTATCTCGCAGTGCAGAGTTCCTCTCGGAGCAACAGGAAAACACTTCGTCGCAAGAAAGAGACCAAAGGCAATTAACAGGACACCGGAGAACATGGGAGAACAAGGACTCTTAAGACAGAGTGGAAAAGGAAAGAAAGAGAGAGAGAGAGAGAGAGAGAGAGAGAGAGTGAGACCATGGAAGTGGAGAAGAGTGTGAGAGCAAGGAGGAGTGGGGTGGGGGGGTGACTCATGGTCTATCTAAATGTTTACATACCCCAGGAGCCTGGAGCATGCAATGTTTTCTTCCAAAACTGTTTTTTTGTTTTTCCAGCCATGACCAGGGCAAAGTAGGGAATAAACAGGCGGCTGACCTTAGAGAGTAAACTCCCCACTGGCCACTAACGTCTGCATAAGTACAGTGGTCAGGCCTTACAGAGGATCAGCAACTGCGCCCCTTCCACCCTGCTCTCTAAATAAAACATTCCTAATTCTTTTTGCTATTCTTGTAATATAATTAAAATGTTATTGTAGTGTAGTGGAGAGAGGGGCGCATGCTAATGCAGGGTAAAATGTAACATGAGTATTTTGTGTGGTTAAACATGTTCAATCTGAACTTGCCTTTGGTCATTTCATATTCTCTTATTAACCTCATCTGCAGATTTTTCGCAAAAATCAGACAGATATTCCTCCAAATTCACCCTGAAGACCCTGATGTTTTTGTACCAGAAAAATGTTTTCATAATGAGTGTTTTTTTAATTATTGTTATTATTATTCAGTTGCGTGTATTAGTCAAAATTCATACCTATATTACTTTAGTTGCCCTCTTTTGGCTGTAACTGCACTGCTTTGAAGCATATAAACAATTCCCAGAGAGAGGTAGCCAGGCTAAAGTACAGCCTCCACACTGCAGGGTTAGCAACATGGCTGGAGTTAAGCCCACCTATGGGGTAAGTTGTAACATTTGCACTCACACCATTTTCTGTTGAACTGCTCATAAACTGTATGTGCTGGAAACAAAATTTACATTTTCATGTGTTGCATAAATATCTAGATGTCTTGAATAAAAAAATCATAATCTTGTTTGAATTATTCAGCAATAATCAAAATAAGAAAGACTGTGCCCTGCTCTATCATATATAGTGTATGAAATGGTTACATGCTTGGAAGTACAAGTTCTAAGAAAGGCCTTTAAATGATATTTAAAAGTTTTTAAATGATATTTAAAGGTTTGAGGCTCTTTAAATTT